CCGAGACAGGCACTCTCCGACTATAGCTTCACCGCCCTTGCCCGACCTCTCGTCATCGCCTGTCCCTGACGGGATCCCGAACCCAGCTATCCCAGGCGACCCAGCGCCGTCAGCCGAAGTCCTGTTCGAGTGGGTGAATACTTTCGCGAAGGCTAATGGCTTCGGTATTGTTCGACGAAATGCACATTCATATAAGGGTCGGAGGATCCGGTACACTTTTCAATGCGATCGATTCGGAGAACCAGCCCCTAGTCAAGGCGCAGGACTTCGACGACGGAAGTCTCGAAAGTGTGGATGTAAATGGATGGTTGTTGCCGAGGCGTTAGAAGAGGGGAAGTGGCTCTTACGACAACACTCGAAGCCCGAACACAGCCAGCATAACCACGGCCGCAGCATCGGGCCATCTGCTCATCCCTCCCATCGGAGACTCACCGAGCCTATCAGGACAACGGTCGAATCGACAAGCCGTCGGGTCGGAATTCGGGCCCGTGACGTACGTGCTATCGTCCAGGAGCAGCATCCCGAATCATCCTTTACACGGAAAGACATCTATAACGCCAGATCTCGTATCAACCGAGACAAGCTGGATGGCCATACTCCTACTGCAGCACTGATCAAGCTGCTTGACGAGATGAAGGTTCCCTATCTCGTTAAGTGGGGAGACGATGAGCCAAACCGTCTTGTTGGCCTTGTCTGGACATTTCCTTACTGCCTCCAGATGTGGAAGCGGTTCCCCGAGGTGATCAGCTTCGACAACACATATAACACGAACCGCTTCAAGCTTCCCTTATTCCAAGCAACGGGACAGACATGCCTTGGCTCTGTCTATAACGCTGCCTTCGGTCTGATAGATAACGAGAGGAGAGAAGGGTTCCAATTCCTCTCCGAGAGCATTCGACAGCTAGCAGAGCAGCACTCCATCCGGCGACCGGATGTGATCGTCACCGATTTCGACGACCAGATGAAAGCCGCATTGAACGACCAGTTCCCCGATGTACAGCAGCAGCTGTGCATCCACCACATCAATTCGAACATCCTGCTTAAGTCAAAGCAGAGGTGGGTTAACGCCCGCAGCAGCAGCAGAAGTAGCCCTGGTACCAGCGACGGAGAGGCAACTACCCCGCAGCCACAAGCTCAACTAACCCCTCAAGACCGAGAGTTGGTTCACACGCCAATAACCGAGGCTATCCCTCATAACTATCGAGGAGTTCTCATCATGTGGAAGCTCGTCTTATTTGCTGAGACGGAGGAGGCCCACGACGAGGCATGGGCAAACCTCTGTAAGGAGTTTGATGACCAGCGAGCTATCCTGCGGTATCTCCATGGAACCTACATGCCCGTCAGGGCCCAATGGGCCCGCTGTTTCATCCGGAAGTATCGCAATTTCGGGGTCCGTGTCACCTCTGGTACAGAAGCAAGCAACAACAACATCAAGAGCTATCTTCTGAATGGTATGAGCAATCTTTATCGCCTTTTTGAGGCTATGCAGGACATGATGAAGGACCAAGAGCGGGATTTCAACGATGCCTGCGCAGCGGATGAGGTACTTACCGCACGAGAGTATATGGGGTCCAGCTCGGAGTATCTTGGCGAACTCCGAATAGCGCTCTCTTCGAAGGGTCTCGGACTGATCACGAAACAATATCGGCTGGCAAGGAAAGCAATGCCGACAGGAAAGAATCCGTTTCCTGACCCTCTCGGGGATTGCGGCGAGGAATGCTCGGTTTCGACCGAACTTGGAATCCCCTGCTGTCACACAATCTACTCAAAGCTGGGAAGTGGCACGCCTTTCACCAAATGGGAGGTCCATCCTCGGTGGCGCCTACGAGAGCCATCCTCTCGAGATCCATACCGACGAATCCTCGACCCTAAGATCGCCACTGCTCTCCGGGGCAGACCTAAGAACACCACGCAGGTTGTTCCAGCGCGGCTAGCCATCGGGGCAAGCAGCCAGCCCAGTAGCCAGCCAGCCAACAAACCAGCAAGCAAGTCACCACGGCGCAGACGTGGTCGACCACCGGGAAGTCTCAACAAGTCAACGCTAGCTAGGCTTCCACTGGAAGTGAGCCAACAGACCAGCAGCCAGGCTAGTAACCAGGCCAGTACCCCATCCCAGCGCCAAACGCGCAGCCGGTCAGTTGTTCTTGGAGCTGGAAGAACTACAGGAGTACGTGCCAGCGGGCGGCAGACGCAGCCTAGCATTCGTAGGCGAAGGAGTCAGTGGGAGCTGCTTGACAGCGACGAGGAGGTACTTCCCTCGATAGTAGTGAGAGGATAGCGATATGGAGAGCTGGCATCTAGAGCATACTTGAATTGGTCTTGTTCTGCAGATCTTGTTATGAGCTCGATCTAGACCTGGGTTGACCCTATTGGTTCTTTACCGAAGCTGAGGGACTTGTTAAGGGAGCTGGCTTCACCGCCTTTGCGCCGATGTACCTGTGGGTCGAAGGAAAAAAGAGCGAATCAGAGGCCATGGAAGTGACGCCTGTGTAAGAGTGACGCCGGTGTAGCCATTCGTTCACGCCGGTGTAGCAATTGCCAAAAATTAAGTTAGTCTTCATTACCTGTTGTGTAACCACCTCGAGAGAAAATTCGAACAGCTCCTTGCTCCTACCTATCCCATTCCGAGTCAGCTGCTTAAGCGACGTGCGAGAGAAAAGGGGGTCGCCATCAGAACAGGAGCCCCATTCAAGGCCCATTCAGGGCCCATTCAGGGCCCATTCAGGGCTCATCTCGTCTGGGCTCGGGGTAACGTTCTTATATTCCCCAATAGAAGGCGGGAGGCTTTTCTCCGCGCCGGCACTCGAATATGTCCCATACACCAGCATAATCTCGGGCCAAACACTAGAAGGTCACCACCGCATGCGAACACCAGCACCACTACGCGATCAGCGAGACAGGAAGGCTTCAGATGGTTTAGAGGGCGGCCCCCGGGGGCGATAGTAGACCATAATGATCGACTCCAGCAATCTCTTTAGGGTTTCAGGAGCACGTCATAGTGCTGCCTGTCGTTGGGGTAGTTCTGGACTGACTCGTGGCTGAGAGGCAACTATCGAGAGGATAGCCGGTAAGCTTAGGGCTAGGAGAAGCTGTGAAGCGAGCATTGTCGGATACCGCTTGATACAGAAAAGGAGAAGCAGATCATTGACTAGTGGCAATCTGTGGCGCCAATCTGCTCTTGATTGGCCGACGCGCGAGTCGCTTGAGGTTTCCCTGTGGAGTTTCAAGTCTTGGAAGAACACAGAGAAAATCCACGTGTGAATGTTCAGTCTTATCAAATTCCATAATTACGAACAGGCTCGGTTGAAGGCTTTCAATCGTCGAAACATCGTGTCGGGTTGGCGAGCTACTGGATTGTGGCCTGTGGACCTACAGAAAGCTCTCGACAGCCCTTGGGTCATGAAAGAGGTCCCCGAGCAGTCTGAACCTTCGCCTGTGAAGACCGCAGATGAGCCAAAAGGCCCCTCTTTACTACTAACACCGAAGGCTGGCTTTGACGTCAGATTACAGATGGATAGCTTCAAGTCTAACGGGGGACCAACGACCAGGCTCCAAAGATTGGTCATCAGGAAAGCAGCCAAAGCAATCGACATCAAGAACGTCGAGATAGCTGATCTCAAGCATTGGGGAGCGATTTGTCAAGACGGCACAGATAGATTCACGCGGTCAGGCAGCTTGCTGAGTTGACAGGAATCCATGAAATTGAAAAGGAAGGGGCCGGAGTACTTGATCTTTCTGAAACATACATTAATTCAGTGCTAAATTAGGTAGGGTGGTGTGGAACAGCGAGCTTCCGTCATGTACTGCTGTCGCAAATGTGATGTCGGTTGGGGGCGGTGTCGGTTGGGGGCGGATGCACGCTAATGACTAACCAGGGATTGATCCCGGATCAGCCCCCGGCGCAGCCGGGAACGTAAGTCTGCTGGGCTACATAGCTAACGTCCATCCCTGCGTGGCGAGAACCCCTCCGTGCCGAAAAAAAATGACAGGTACTTTGACTTTAAACATGTCAAAACCTTCACACATATCGACGTCTCTCAACCTTTTTTATAAGTCGTATTCTCTAGCCACTCTTGAGCATTCTAAGCCCCTCTTACTAGAAAATTACCTTGGCGTTGTTGTCCTCGCGCCTGATCTGTAGAACGTCTCCATTTACAGCAAAAGAGAGTTCCTCCAACACGCTTCCACCATCAAGCTCTTATCACCCATAATACTTATAAAAAGGTCATATCCAAGCTTTAGGACCTCGCTACTACGCCAGTAATCGTTCTGAGCCTTGTGGCTGTTGTGATGTCCAGATCTTTATAAAATCGCTACGCAAATCGGTACCTCGGATCAAAGCGAGTGACGATTATGGTTAGTGCGAAACGACTCACACAGGGCTCTTTATGTGGCTGATTTGGAACTCTCGATGCGTCGTCCCTCGTGGCCTGTGTCATCCCTCGGCGCTCAAGCCACCAGCTTCCGTAAATCCGGACGGGACAATATTTGAGCCGACGTGGCTGATGGTGGTGTGCTGGCCTGAGAACATGACTAAGCAGTCTTGGTTCGCGCTCATTCGTGATGCAGAGCCGCTGCCTGGGTGGTCCGCGAAGGCGACGGCATCACGAGATCCGGAATTATGATGGCCGATAGGCAACGTTTGACGCACGGAGTCCAGGAAGTGGAGTGTAGTCTGGACACAACGGGCATGGCCACAAGACATGGGACCTGGCAGTACACGCTGCCCCGAAGGACTGGGAAAGGGATCGACGGCGAGCGTTCTAAGAAGAGGCAGACTGAGCAATCTTGCTTGTTGGAAATCCGAGAGGCTTAAGGCAGAGGGTGCTAGCCTCCGGCAAACACCACGCTCAGTATGAACGCCACCCCGAATGTTCCTAAATGCATCCCAATGCATCAGCTGCCCCGCTAAGGGTATTTCTCACGCAGGAACGGCGGTTGCAAATAGGCAGCTGGCTGCAGAGGACGCTTGTAGACTGGGTCAGCATAGGCGTAAAGCTCACGTAGCTACTGACCGATCAGGCCCCTAATCGTCACGTCCTTAATCGTCCATCTCCCCAACCAGCAACATAGTATCGGCCGACCTTCGTATCCACACCCGCTCTCCAGCAGCTTGAGCTACGATAACAGCCACCCAGCCCAAACCAGGCGCGTCAGTCTCGGGTCGCGTTCAGCACCACGTCAAACGTGGCGTTCCGTCTCGAGTGGCGCTCGAGAATCAACTTGTCGGCGTTGCTGTCGTCCGAGTAGAGCGTGTAGAAGAAGGTTTCCTGGCGCTGCCCCTGGCGGCAGAGCCGGCCGCACGCCTGCCCGGCCAAGAAGTCCTGGAACGGCAGGTCGAACAGGATGCCGTAGTTGGCTCGCTGGAGTCCGTTGACGCCCGTCGCCGCTGCGCCGCCGTGGCTACGTCGTGGCCGTCGTGCTGGAGCTGGCTGCTGAGGAACCACACGATGAAGGTCTCGGCTGACGACAGCCGCGACAGGCCGGGGAAGGAGGACGCCATGAGGATGGCGGTGAAGTGGCTTGACTTCGCCGCCGCCCTCATACAGATTCTAGTTAAGATGGCAGTGCCACTGTTTATCTTCGCGCCGCCACCGTATGCCGCTTTCTTGCCGTCCGAAAGTGCGGTAACCCGGATAAGAAATTGAGGACGGTTCTAGAATATCGAACGAAAAGCCAGGAATCTAAGCTCGATGAATCGCTGATCATTCGCCGTCATGATTATCGGTCAAAGCCAAGCTCCTCCTCGCTCATCCAGAGAAACCCGAGGATCGTGAACACGAACTGCAGTCCATCTTCGTTGATGTCGAACTGCTCGGACGCGACCCCTCCCAGCCGATCAAATTCCCACATCCTCATGAGAGAACCACAGATGGCAAAGCCCAAGATGAAGCGACGAGTGTCCTGAGCAGCGAGTACTTCCCTCCCGTACGTCCCAAGATCAAGCCATTCCTTTGGCGCTTTGTCGGCCGATGGGTTGCTCTTCAGCTCGCCCGGAATGAGGATTTGCGACCAGTGGCATCGAGAGTCTTTTTCACCAATCAATTCCCGTTGCGGGCGCGCTCCCCTCAGAGAACCTAAACTTGGTTTTGCTGAGATTGATGAAATCCACCGGCTTCGTCTCGTAGTCGCCGAATCGGACCGACAAGCACTTGTCATGTACATCGACATTATTTTAGCCGACAGCGCAATTATGGGCAGCCTCGGGTAGCCGTTCTCGCTCTCCCACTGTCGTATCTCTCGACAGGCCTAGTACCCGTCCTTGCGAGGCATGTGCAGGTCACACTGTCGAATATCTCGTTCGCATATATCTACCGGATCAACACCACCATGTATTAGGCCACCGTACCAGGATAAGAGTATGGTCCTTAGTCCACCGCCCATGGTCCATAGTCCATCGTTCAGCTTCTGTGATCGCTGGTCACTCAGGGGATTGGCTAGCTGTGCCACAGACGCCAGCATCTAGACGCTTTTTTCCTGCTTCGCATATTCAGGCCTACCCTGCGAATTGCCAGCCTGAGGAACCATGTCCTGATTGAGATTGCTAGCAGACCTTGACTCGCCAGTTGTCATCTCGCCTTGCAGTTGCTGGTTAGCGTCATTGTCGACGTTGCTGGATGTTGGTACGGGAGATAAGGGATGAGATATGCTCTTCCGGAAGGGATGTTCGCTGCCGGTAGTTAGGCGCCGATGTTGGAGCATTTGTGGGCCTGTGAGAGTGCAAAGTCACCGGAATCGAAGTACTTTCTTCCCTGGAGCCGATGACCGGATTAGCTTGGTTCGAACTGACTAGCAGTACGGTAGAGCATCTCGATGCCTCTAACTGGTGATGGAGAAGGTTTCCTCTGGTTGGAATCTTTCCATACAAGTTCAGGAGACGCTTATCCCCCTCGGCAGAGGGCTTCTCGTTTTGGGGAGAATCCATGCTCGCAGTTGGAAGTTGAAAGAGGAGAAATCATGGAGGTAGGCCGAACGTCGTCATCCTGCATAGAGTTCTTATAATAACCTGTATCGACGTGACGGAAGCTCCACAACTTTTGTCCGATATGTCCCGGCTCACGCATAGCACAGGCGCTAGCTGAACTCCCGTTACGTAAGGGCCGATCGCGATGTTACCCCCGCACAATGCTTCTCCAATTTCCTCTTAACTGCGACCATCTCAGCATGAGGGCATTGTTCCGCATTCTGCGTCCATGCAGAAGTCTGCCGCCTGAATCTTCAGTAATGTTGCAACCGATGCGCCCATATTCGTGATGTTGTAACCATTACGTTCTGACATACCAAGCTGAACTCACTAGAGTTGCGCAGCTTCTGATGCGATGCGAAGCTCTTAGAGCAGATCAGGCATTCATTGAGGCCCTGCACCATCGTGTTGAGAGCTCGATGGCCGAAGTGTTGCTTGTGACACGTGCGCGATCGCGACGAGCCAATGAGTCGCAGCTGCAAGAGCACCCGCCAAGTTTGCGGTCTACGGTCGACTTCGACTCCATGTGCGAGATACGAGGTAACTTACTCAATTCGTCATCATGAGAAATAAGTGACGTGGACATCCCATCATCGTCTAGCGCGCAAGCACTTCCTCAGCAGAAGCAAATCCGACCTCCGCCCTACACCCCAGTAGCGCCCCCCTCTCCGTCACCAGTGCTACAGCGAAAACTGTCGGCTTCCATCATCAAAGGAAATTCGATAACTAATCGAGTAAACAGTGCCCGGGTCTTTGGCACAATTTCTTGTTTATACAATCATCGTTCTTAGACTCTGCCCTTTCCCTCGTTTGAGGAGACCTCTCCCGTTTTCTCCCCTCCCTCTTCCTCCGAGAACTGCCCCAATCCTCCAACCAAGTCAACTTTTGACCAGCTCCAACACACAATGGCGAGCAATGGTTCGACTGGTGCCGATCCGGCAAAGGATGTTGCGGTCCGTATACTGAAGCTCCCAACCATACGCTTGGGTTTGAAACTGACATGGCGCGTGTTTGATGGTGTAGATAATAGAGGAGGAGACGGCCACATATCCTCGCCAAAAGGGACAGGAGAGAAAGCCGGCATGGATCCGTCGGCCAAGCCAAGTCAACGCCTGATCTAAGATGAGAAACCCCATTAGGGTGCGACCTCGTGAAGTTTCAGCAATCCACACATTCAGCGAGAGTTCCTGCGTGGAGATGAATCCTTGCCATCGCCGCCGCCCCACTGCACAACCCTTAACCCCGTGGTTGGAATGTCACCGTCGTGGATTACACGCCGTTCCGTTTCGAAACTCGCATGACGGCGCCGAGCATGGTGCGATCGAGCAGCTCGTACAGGTTTTTCTTCTCGATGGGCTGTTCTCGCAGATAACCCGCGAACAAGGTCTGGACGTCGTCTCTCGAGACTTCTCGCCCCTCCAACTTCGCAAATAGGCGCTGAAACTCTGCCTTGACGTTTTGTAAACCAAGCATGCCGGCCCATTGCGTGCGAAGGGCAAGCTGGTCGTTGTGGGCAGCGTCGCGGTCCATGGCTTTGCCGACGCCGACGACACGTCCTACAAAGACCCCGGCAAGTGCTAGGAGCCTCTGTTGGGAACGCAGTTGCGCTCTACATATGCTCCTCCCACTAGCGCGGTACTTGACGCCCGGCTCCCTTTCTAGGCGGGCAAGGCTGGTTGCAGTGAACCTGTCGACAGTCTCGTACGACAACGGCATCCACGACAGGAACCCCTCTGGCCGCTGGATTCCGCAGCCGTCAGCTAGGAAGTCCAACTTCAGGCTGGCCTCTAGCTCCGCGACAATGACGCTCCAGAAGGCGCCGAACGTGTCTCCTTGGTAAGAAATAGGCGGCAGACGGGAGACGTGCTCGACGCTGTCGGCAAGCCGTATGAGAGTGTAGACCTTGTCGCGCGGATCGGATGCGTTGAAGGACAGAAATCGGTTGACGAAAGTAAAGAGACTCCAGCGTTTGGACTTGACTGCCCCTACGTCCGATGGCAAGCTGTCGACTCGCTGCTCCAAGCTTCGGCTGGAATAAAATGGGACAGTGCCGTTGACGACGGCGATGAGGTCCTCCACTCATTCGCAGCCATACATCTGGTTCGGCCTTGGTAGAGAGGCCAGAAGATGGAAGTTGGATCATTCTCACTAGACCAAAATTAGTCTTACTTTGGAGAGTGTTAGGTTCGTCTCCAGGGAACCAACTGGAAGTACGCGTCCGTGTATTTCGTCTGTGCCGCAGCACATTTCTCGGCGTCATAGATGCCCCAGTTCTGACAGCAAACTGCCATGGGCGGTACCCGTTTTGATCAAGGCTCCACCGAGAACCTTGTCAAAGCCAATCTCTGGAGTGGGTGATGTACGCCACTGTTCCAGGCCGCTCGGACTGTCGCAAGACCAAGCACCTGCGTGCTTCTTGTTCGAGATGGCGGACGACGCGGAGGACAAGCCTTCCATTTGAGAGGAAAGGGTTGCCGATAGCTTCTGGAACTGGGCAAGGGGACTCAGCTGCGCGCGTCCTCCAGAGCGTGAGTACGTAATCGAAGCAGATGATACACGGCTTCCCAAGCAAGTGCGAGGATTCCGGCGGCGAGACCAGTGTCATCTTCTTCCTCCAACCCTCAACGACCGCTCGTATCTCTATACAGTAAACTATCTGCCTTGCCGCCAGACATATGCCGCTTGACCATGCGCAGCTTCGTCATGCCATGCACGCCGGTGGCTGTGTGGGAAAACGCCTTGTTAACTCAATTCGGTGAGGCTGCGGTAGGCCTGGACCAATCTTTGTGTCGCTTTCCTCTCTGATCCTTCGCATCTCTGATTCTTCCCCGCGGATAGCTCGCGACAGCAGCATCCGACCGGGTTATATCTTAAAAACTTTACTGACATCATCGACCTCGGCGCGGAGAACCCACTCCCGAGGCACGACGTGGGGGGACTGTAGGCCGGCCATCGTCCCACAGGACGAGGACGGCATCTTGGCGTAGGAATACGACGAAAAAAGGATTCTCCCAGCGAGGACGCTCGTGGCTCACTCTCACGAGGGCGGCTGGCTACACACACCTAATCTGGAAAACAGTAGCGACTTTCGCAAACGCCACAGCCCTTGACGCGTTTGAGGCGGGTTGGGAGGATATAATGCACGATGACGGGCCCGGGACTCTGAGAGTAAAACTAGTCTATTTACGGGCACAAGGAACGCCCGCCAGGAACACTGACAATGCGGGGGTCGTGCTGCAACATGCAATTCCAGCGCCCAACACGGGTCCAGACGGTGGGTGGCCCAAGAGCACGAAAAGGGGGCCGACGCGGCTTCATGCCCCGGTTTCATCCTCCAAAAAGTCATCCTCGGGAGACTTCTCCTGGTTGTAGAGACCCTCCTCATTGCAACCATCGTGGCCATCGACGGGAGCCGAGCCGAAGGTGTGGGTGCGCGAGTTATCGGGGCGGCGGGAGCGCGAAGGAGACGACGCGGTCAGGTCGATGGTGCTGTCTGAGTGTTGGACTGGGGCATCAGGGAAGCGTCGCGAGCCTGACGAGCCGGGACACGCTAAGGTAGCAGATCATACAGGTCGGCCTCGGTCCGGGCCTGATGCGAGGAGATGCTGTGCGGGAGGCGTTCGCGGTGATAGGGCGGTTATTACGCACCGGCAGCCAGCACCGGACGCTGGCGAGGGCGGCGAAGGCGCGATCCTTCATGTCGGAAAGGCGGTTCATCAGACGCGACTGGATCTAGGCCGAATTGTCCATGTTGATCAAAACCTTGTGGTGCAGTGTCCTGGACAGTGTTAAGGAGCGCACTCAACGTAGTCTGGTTGGTGTTGCAACTGTTGGTGCGCGGGAGCGCAGGAATTGCTGTTGAGGACGAGCCGGGTATCGCGCCCGAGGACGGTGCTGGAGAGGTTCAACTCGGCTTCGATGCGCATGCAAGGAACCCGTGGACGTCCTTGATGAGGCCGAGCATGCGGTGCTGTTGGGGGTGAAGTCGGTCAGAGTGGTCTCTGGGATGGAGGCCGCCATGATTGCTGATCGGGAGCGGTAAGGGGGTCAGCGGATAGCCGAATTGAGGGTGAGAACCGCCCGTGGTTGGGGGTCAGGTCGGCCGTGACAGTGGGTCCGTATTTGGCATCCAGCGAGCACACCTCCAGGGCCGGGCTGTAGTCTAGTCCTCCCCCAACGTGCCAGTACGGACGCGCCCCACTACCCTTGGAGTAGCCACGGCGTGCCGGCTCAACCTGCGAGGCTGCCCATGTCGGTCAGGCGAAGAGCTTCCTGGAGCTCGCACGGGAACCCCGGACCACTCTGCGCGGAGCAGCCGTTAGATCGGGGTCAGCCCGCGCAGGGTCAATTGACCGGCAGATTGTCTCCTAGCTCGGAGAGTAGCCTCTGCGCCATGTCGCGGAACTCTTGGACCTCGATGCGCTGGCCGAGATCGCTTAGTGCTCGCCTGCCGCCTTCCCACATGATCCTCACCGTGCCTCCCTTCTACAAGCGTCATAAATTTTGTGATCATACTGAACTCGCTGTACGAGCCATCTGTATGGCAGCGCTGATGCCCGTCTCGGAATGTCACAAAGATTATCGGCTTATCCACCCTCTTATTCTGCCTCATACCACATAAAGAGAAGCTGCCGAGTGGAGCGCAACATTGTCCCCGACTGATGGTGAAATACACACGGGGCGGGCTAATATTGCCTTTCCGTCGCTGTTCAGCAGCAACTCCTAGAATCTATCGACGACTCCCACCAGCCTAGAGGTTAAAAGAACCAGTCCTGATACCTCGCGCCTTAATTGAGTCGCCTTTTCTTCAAATCCCACCCCTCTTCCATCCACTTGTCTACCAAAGTCCGACTTTCCTCTACCTATAGAGGCGCGCGATCAGAGAGTAAAGGGTGTCCTGTTGTTCTCTTCCCGATTCAAAATTTGTTGGTCTGATAGCGCCACCATTAGACTTGACTTTGCTGGTGGAATTACTCCTGTCTTAATTGTTCCCGTTGACCACGACACCTGTTTCGGCGGTGCGTCTCCTTATTGGGACTCTTCTACAATCGTATTGGCCAAACCTGAATAGAGAGGAATTTTGAGAGGAAGCTCTGTACGTCGTTTCGCCATCTGCTTCCTCCGAAGCAGGGAAGAAGAGGTCCGACAGCGCTCGAGTATTCTTGCCATCATTCTTGTGCTCCAAGAGCTCTGCACACTTACTTTGTGCGAGCAGGTATGTTGCTGGCCATCGCCCAGAGAGCTGAGTCATCGTCGATTGATCAGATACGTCTCCCTCGAGTTTCAGACAACACTGGCCTGCGATCTGTTCCAAAACTTGACGAAGAATGTAGAGGCTTTTGTATCCTTGAACATAGTACAGTTCATTGCTGAGAGTTGGGAGAAATATCCGTTCTTGTGCATCCAATAGAGAAACCAACCGCTCTAAGTGGCATAAGTCACACCCGGGAAATTCCGCTTGCATGCGGAGAGTGAGGTACGTGCTGCTCGGAATAGACCATGGCTCCAGTAATACGCCCTAAACCGAGTTCGGGACTTCGTACTTGCGAGAAAGGTGACGAGCGGCGTGAGCTAGATCCTCTAGCTTGATGGACGGCTCAGTAAAACCCCTATTGCACTTCTCTTGTGGCGGAGCAAGATTGAGCGCACGAGGCACATGTTTTCTGAGTTTCCAGTTTCCAGTTTGAGCTCCGGTTTGATGGAGGAAATAGGTCTCCGCCCGGTGAGCAAGAACTGCACTATCCGTAACCTCCAAATCGAATTCGCGAGACACGCTCAGCGATGACCAGATGTCGCGGACTTGTCCCTTGTCGACCTTGAGTAGCCCGCAGACGTCTGCAACCGTCAAACCCCAACTCTTTGGCTCAGGGGTACGATATATTTGCAGTAGTTTGTCAGCTTGTCTATGCGCAAGCGAGCCCTTACCGAGTATTCGGTGGGTCAACTTGAAAATGTCCCAGCAGTCGGTTATCGTCGTTGGGTGTCTGGATGGTGCATGCGAGCCGCAGAAGCCTCCGATGAAGATGTTTGGGGACCTGGCGTCCCGGCTGATGTAGACGTTGTCTGCATTGAGATTACCATGAATGCAGTTTAAACCGTGGAGCTTGAGGACTGTGCGGAATAGGCCCCAGAAAACTCTCCTCGCCATGCCCTGGCAGCCTTTGTCTTTTTCATTTCTCAAGTCTCGACTCACGGAGACAGTATTCGTGCGAAGAGGTGTTAACGATATGAAAAGCTTGTCGCATTTGATGAGGTTTTTAAGGAACCATGAACTCATCAAGATTCTGAAAAGGTCAGCTTCCAGTTAACCGCCGGAGAAAGAGCACTCACTTTCAAAGCTTGCAGGGAGCGTATCGACGACTTCATTCTATTGTAATCGGCGGACTTGTGGGTTGAGACTAGGAATTGTTGTCGTGTCCACGGAGCTATTGCAACAGCCATGTTTGGCTGTGCGAGTTCGTGTGGATAATACCAGAGGTCGTCTTTACGCTGGGTATTGAAACGGCTGGGTTCGCCCAAGATAGTCGTGCATGCCTGCTCGCCCAGAGAACGAGAGACTTCACTACGTTGGGGCGGGGGGTCGGAGTGGAAGACTTGGGAGCGGCAGCATAATACTTCCAGCCGAATACTGTCAACTTCGACCACGTTCGCAACGTGCACGTTTAGTCCAAGCTTGGTTGAATTGTCCAGAAGCTCGATACCATTGACCCGAAATGAGTTGGGCCCAAGTTTCTGTATGTAGTAGCCGAATTCATCGCCGCAGATGCCGAAGTGGGCACGGCTGATTGTCGACCTCCCAGAAGGGGCGATGACAAAATCCGCGATATCGTTCTGAAATTTCCGTCCGAATACAAACAAATTCGAGTCCACCTTTTCAAGCATTTTGCGCCCAGAAAAGCAAGGTGCGAAAAGGGCATATATCATGCTCGAGCTCTTCGAGCGGTTTTGGGTCAGCATTTGGTGCTCACCAATAAGTCGCTGGAATTCTGCATTATGTGTTCGTGTTAGCGGCCTGGTGTCCTGTAATTTTGCAATCTTCTTGTCCAGGTCTTCTTTCTCGATCGGTGACGCGGAATCGTCGAATCTTTCTACCAGCTCTCTCCTTCACTTACCTGAACCTTATGGGAAGATTGGGGTAGCCCGAATGGCCGGGGGGGTTAACCCTAACTGTAAGTTTGTGTCCAAGCTTGGGGTTCGGAATGAGTCCAATGGCCCGAGCGCCCCCACCCCTGTTGTATGGCAGACACGCGCCAACTGGACACAAACTGCTTGTGAATGATGGTCAGGTAGCTGGGCTCGTCTGGTGTGCCCGTCTGATCCTGCTAGAGTACATATTCGCAGGTTCAGAAGCCCAAGGTTGTCGGCACTGCGACAGACTACTGTCGCAAGTACGACGAACCACAATCGGCGTTGCGACGACGAATCGTCGCAAAGATGGAAACACACGATGAAGGACAAAGGATATATAGATGGAGGATCTCCTGGCCAGACAGTCGTTACCTTTGTACTTCAGCGATCAATCTAAGTATCGCCCTTACCCTTCACTTGACCTAGTCACTCAATTGATCCAAGTGTGATATCTCTCCCAAGAGACACGAACGACAACCCCAGAGATCACGACAGTACGGAGTCAGTATTGCGCAGGCGTTACCTACCTTCTCAGAACATAAACCCCAACCGCCCGGTCAGACGGATTGACCCCCGGAGGCCGGATCGTGACACATACATTCTTGGCAAGGGCAATAAGCGAAGGGGGTTTGAATCATGCATCTGAGCTTCGATTTTCTAGTGAATTGAGGCTACCTAAAACTTTTGGTTCTGGGTGCAATAGGTATATGGTTGATCACCTTGCATGCTTCTGAGGTAGTACAGTAGACTTGCGCTCCTTCTAATCATTGACGCTCGGTCGGAACCCCTAACCAGACCTTAAGCCTATATGCGACTCATTCAAGGTATGATCCCTCATCGAGGTCTATTGCGCCGAGCCCATTGCAAGATTTACAGCGTTGATTGAAAACAACAGCGTTGTATCCGTTCTGGGGGTATTTTCTAATCATTATCGCTACCTTCTTACTATGCCATATTTAGAACAACCAAAAGTTTAGTCAACCTCAATTCACCAGAAAATCGAACCCAAGAGGCATGATTCACCCCCTTGGGTATTGGCTCTACTAGGAGTGTACGATCTCCTTACAAAGGTTAAGTTCTGTCGACTAACCAATAGTAGATGCATAGTAGCCGCTAGCCCACTATCCCCGCATTATCGTGCAGGTAACTAGCGCTGAATACCCTAGCCTTTGTCATTGGTTAGGGGACCACCGCAGCGCCCAATTAAGACTTTGTTCTGCCAGAAATAGCGACGTTCCTCCCACAGGGATACTCTGGCCTGGACACGCCCTATTGTGAACCTTCGACCATCACTAAGCCGTCCCTCTCTCTCCAGCCCTCTTCCTCCAAGGAAAGGTTTGAACTATTTTACTAAACTCGGTCGCTGTTCCCAACCTGAGGCTCAGGCTGAACTCCACCCGGACATCTTGTCCTGCCCCTGCGAGAGGACGTCACCAACTGCTGGGGATCTGGGCATTGTCGGAGTGAGGCGCATGAGATAGGAGGTTGTTATTTGTGGAGAATAGTATTCTCAAGTTGGGACGAAGAAGGAGCTTAGCGCTCTACAGGCGGCGCAAAATGAGGAAGGCGCTGGAGCGCGCGACATGGGTAGAATGAGCTACAGTATGGCATTTCGGCGACCCTAGGAACTTAAAATCGGGTTGAGACTGTCGGATGGCGCGTGACCTGACTGTTGGTGATATGATGTGATTGCTTGTGGTGGAGCTTTCAATACTTGGCCAATTGGAACAATGCCTGCTAGTGCTGTTACTTGTTGGTTTGGGGGCCCTCGTCATCTTCTCCACCATTATCAACGGAATGCACTGTGATAGGGGAATCCTGAGGTCGTACCAAACCAAGAGACACGGGTAATCATCAATGGCGAGGCTTGCACCTATATATGGAAGTCACTCCTTCCAGCTAATTTGTTTTAGGAAGTTCTTTCAATTTACACAGCTACAGCATGCATGAGGTTCTATGCGCGTACCACTGTGTCCGGATACGGCTCACGTTCGATTGGTCTAGTGTAACATACCCCTTCGGTACCTTACTGGGAGCGGGAATATAAATCGTTAGATTCTTCCTAGCATTGCTTCAACATACAATTCCCACAAAGTCGTTGGAGTTGGTTGGAAATCAATCCGAGAAGATGGACCTGCATCGCTTAACGAAAGATGGAAGACGCCTCTGGTATTTCTTTCGGATCATTCAACAACCGAGCATTGGGAGAGCTGCTGGATCGGGACCTTCAGGTATTTGAGACGTAAGCCCCCTGCGAGAATTGTTACTAATTTACTCAGCCGTGGCTGACCGTCGTCCAATTGACCCGCCTCCAGTCTTGCAGCTGAGAATTTTTGAAGGGGATAACATGGACTATGTACAAGATATTACGCCTATGTATCTTGCGCAATTCTTCGCCTATGCCTCAATAGAAGGAGTTCAGCAAGGTGGTAGACTGCTGATAGCGAAGAAAACTGCAGCTATCCTTGGAACAACAGTTGCTGGTAGCTCTTTCCTAAATCAACCAGAACCAGCTTACTACTTCGTATTTGACGATCTTTCGGTTCAGTTCGAGGGCCAATATTTTCTGAAATTCGACTTATACGAGCAGCAAATGTTAGACATGGACAGAGATGCTCTTTTGGGAGAAAGCGACCATGTAGACATCGAGAGCAATAATTATTTCTCCCACAGACAATCCATATCGTCAGCAGCTTTCTCAGTTGTACCGCCAAAGCGTTTTAAAGGCTTCACATACAGCACTGGCCTTAGTTGGGTCTTGGCTGAGCAAGGCATACGCATCCGTATTCGCAGCGACCTTCGTGCAATGAGAAAAGCTGGGTCTCAAGCAGGATCCACTCGCATCAGTGGCCGCCACCGCTTGGTCGAGAACCGATCAGTCGTTCATCACCTCACGACCATCTCTTCCGTCACTAACCGAGGCACTTCAATTTGTTGATGACGGCTGAATGTCCAGCTCCCGGCAGCGTGGCGAGTTAACCTGCATAACCAGTAAGTTCAGCTCATCAGCATTGTCAAGTTATCCTCGCAAATTCTCTGGAGAATGCCTCCCGCAGTGGTGATCAGACATTTTTACGTGAGCTGAGAATGAATGACATGAAGCTGGGATTATGGAAGTTCATCGCTGGTGTAAAGCTCTGCCAAGAACATATGGTCCTGTTCAATAGAATAACAGGCGCCAGACAGCCGCATCCTCTATCCTAACCGATCCGACAGTAGATTTATATCATGTAGTTAAATAACTTACTCAGCCTACCCAATCAGAAGCGCCTTCTTCATCTGGTCTCCAACCTCATACGGCACTGAATCAGTGCTATGGCTGTTTGTGTTTTGAGTATTCTCAAATCACAGAATTTTCCAGGCAGTAGCAGAACATGCTTTGAGGGAAAATTTAAGGTCTCTAAACTCGAAAACTCTTCTGTTGCCAAAACGCTCTAAGGTATGTCCCTTATGGCAGAAACTGCGCTTACGCTAATGATTCTATAGATGAAATGGAGTCAAGAAGAGAGAAAGCCATGTACTATTCTATTTGCAGGACCAGCCACGGATCTCTGGGTTTCAGTGTTCCTCCATAATACTAGTTTCCTTGATGAAGCAATGGCGCAGGAAGGCCTTGGTGCCTTACGTCCACTACGCCCATTTCATGGCTACAGTGGGACCTCCCTCTATAGGACGGTCTCAGACTTCCAGGTTGCACAATTGAGTCTAAGCTGCAGCCTATGACAGATGGGGTCCTTGAATAGCTGGGAGGGATGAGCCTTGAAGACTAGCCTAGTAGTGCACTTTAGAGGCAAAATGTGGCATTGCGGTTCGACATTCCCAGGCAATTACTTAGCCTGAATCCTGTACCTGACTAGTTACAAGGACTCAAGCGAAACATACAGCTGTCCAATGAACCTTGAGCATAACAAATTCTCGATCTATCATCTTGTACACTCTAGGTCCTATTTCCCAGAGCCACTACAGCGGCCACGGAGGAGAAAGTCGTCTATTGGTGCATGGAGATCCTTTGAGAAGGCGCGTGTCTCCTTCCTATAGAGTAATATGGGGCGATTATGGAAGGTTCGCACCACAGCAAGCCTCACACCTCGATCACCCTCGATAATAGAGGCATACACTTGCTGTGCCGACTCTAAAAGTTGGAAATTGCCCAGAGCCCCTTTGCTGCCGCCTTAGACATCTGGAGCTCAAGAGCCTTAAACGATGGATGGGCAAAACTCTACGCGAAGACATCAAGCGAGCTCTTGCAGCTCGTCGATGGTTGTATAAGCAGCAAAGATGATCTTGGGAACGGGTCTACTAAGCCAATCCCGGACACTCTCATCCACAGTACTTACAGATAAAGCGCAGACGAGTGATTTTGTCATACAGAAGTAAGGGAAGCTTAGGAAAGGCCTCAATCAGAAATAGAATTTACTGGTAAATCTAGGGTCATATGAGTCTCCATAGAAAACTGTCTCGCCATCCTTGCTCCAGCGTAGGAAGTATGAAGGAGGATCTAATCGTGCCATCTCACGGCCATCGTCTTGATCTGGAGCCCGACTTCGACCTGGCCAAGGTGAAAGCTGACCTACACTGCACTACCAAAAGAGTCCGTGCGTAGCCCACATCTGAAGCACCACCATTACGAAGTGACCAACTTGTAATCGGATTTATATAGCGAAACAGTGTCTATTCGATTAAATGAGGGTATCCCCGTAATCTGCAGCTTCTGCGCTTTAATACTTGGTGTACCAGCCATGTGCATCTCGGCAGGCCTTAATACGCCGTGGCACTGACTGTAGTAGTGCGCGTACCTTGCGTTCTGGGATCTCTGCCCACGCGGATTGAATTATCTCTTTAGCCCGTTCAATATCGGAGATATTGCGCTTCATATAATGGAAGTGAGGTTCCTGTCTATAGATTTGACGCTTCAAAAGCTGCCATACATGCTCAATGGGGTTGAGATCTGGCGAGTGAGCTGGCCAGTCAATAGTCCAAATGCCGTGAGATTCGAGCCACTCCGTCGAAGCCGTGGCACGATGAATCCCGGCGTTGTCCTGCATGAACGGGTCTCCAGCCTCATAGAGCGGGAGCAATCCTTCCTCAAGCACCTGAAGATAGCTCTTTGCGGACGCTCCGCCGCGCGGAGCATCTGGATCGGGCTCGACAAAGATCAGAGGACTTAAACCGGCCTCTCCGCCGCGTTGCCAAATCATTGCCCACACCATTATGGAGATTCGTGCCTTCACATGAACCTGCGGGTTCACGAGGTCCTCGCGGTACCTCTCATTTGACAAACGGAGGACCCATTCTGATTTTTTATCTGGTCGATTCTGGACAGTACATTCGTCAGAAAATAGGGTTCTTTGAAGGTATCGTGCGCGATAGCCACGGCCATAATCTAGGCAGAATTGGTACCGTTCGGCGGCGTCTTCTTTCGTGAGTTCGATGCGGCAGGCGGCGCGCCATTTCTTGAGGAGGGTCTGCCTGAAAAAACGGCGAAGAGTTGGTATACTGTATTTGCACTGAAAATGGCTTCTAGCCTCTTTCCACGTAGCCCTCGGGGAGCCTCGGGCCCAACGATAGGCCTGTCGAATTGCCCGGCCTCGGAATAGTGGTTTCGCACCTTGACGGGGTTTTGAAGCAAGCTGTCGTCGTTTAGTAGCCTTCATGATTTGCTCGCCGACTCGCTGCCGTTTGGTGCCAAGTGCCTCCGCGATCTCGGCGTGTTTTGCGCCAGCGCCTGCTGCGCCAAGTATAAAGGCACGCTGTTCGGGAGTGAAATCCTGGCATTTCTGACGATTGCCGGATACAATGGTACCGAACTCGCGCAATTTGGACATCGTGGGCGCGTACAATCGTCGATTGAAGTTGTTGTTGTGGATGGCGGGATCACGACGCGTCAAAAATGGGGTGGGGCGCGCACGGATTCTATTGGTAGGTGCGTGTAACCTGTGCTCGAAACGGATTTTCCTTTATCCAGCATCCAGGGAGCAGGCTGTCACCAGAAACTGCGAGTTCTCTTGATGTGGTCACGGATGGCCTCTACAGTTAACGGTTGGTTCCCATTCCTCTATGAGTTAAAACATCTTTGTGGAGGCAGCGTCAAATGTAACTAGCCCCCGCAAAATGGAGTATTCTACAAGCCTGCCTTGAGAACATCATTGTGCAAAGTCGGCGTAATCGCCTTCAGCAAGAGCGATGGGTAAAAATGGTTCCAACACGTTACCTTGGAAGGATTGCGCGCAAGCCTGGTTTCTCACACATGGCGAGAAGTCAAATGTTGTATGACATTCAATATCAAACGCCAAAGTGAACATAAGGAACCCAGAGCGGCCGCCTCGGCTCCGACCCTTGTCTCAATTCAGCGTCCCTGTCCGCTCCCGATGACCGTGACTTTCCGCGTCCGGCATCCTCGACCTCCACCCACTGGTCTCGGAGCGTCCTCATCGCTCGGTGAAGCCCCCGGCTTACGGTTTCATCCCGGATACCCTCATCCCGCAGAAACTCGTACGTCATTCTCGCCATGTCCACACATAACCCGTCATTTACGCTCCAAAGCGTGCCCACTACATGACGGAACCCCGCAAGCTGGCAAGCATTGGCCAGATGGATGCTCTCGTCAACAGACCCCTCATCCAGGATCTGACCAGTCCCGCATGCCGAGAGGTACGCGAGGAATGGCGGCTTCGAGGTAAGGTTCGTCTCCAGGAGGCTCGCCACCGTGAATGGCTTCCGATCCCAATCATCCAGGAGCAGCTGGCTCTCCAGCGGTTCCGTGGGATGCGTGCTGCCGTGGCCAGCAAAGTGGAACATCTTGCAGGCCTCCAAGGCCGAGGCCACGTCGGCCTTGTACGGTCGAGGCCGGGCGTGCGGCAATCCCACCGACTCGCAAACAGCTACTACGGCATCAACCTCGTCGCTTGCATGCTTGAGCGGTTCCTGTTTTGGCGTGTTCTGCATGGCAACGACAACGGCATTTCGGGACTCTCCGGCTTCCGGCGCGTGCTGTGGCCGTCGCCGACTATGTATGATCGCCTTGACGGACGAGGCGTACGATGAGACGACTCTGTCGACCGCCGTCTCGCCGGTGCGCCTTAGATGGTGTCCCGCTGCATGGAGTGGAAACCGGGTCAGTGGGCCGGTGGGGACCCACCACACGTGCGGCCACTGACTGTCCGAAGGAGGTCCAGTAAAGCCTAGAGCATTAAGAATGGGACAGACGATGGCATCCCAGAGCCACCCAAGCGTGTCAAGAGTTCTAAGTTCCCGGACATGGTCGTTGAGCGCCTCTCGGGAGAGGTGTGGCAGCTCCAGCAATCGGATGCCGGACTGCTCAATGACCAAGGCATCGCAGCGATACGAGCTCACGTTCAGGTCGACGATCGGGCCGTGCCGCGCAGCCTCCAGCATATCGGCTTCCGATGCGGAGAGGAGGAATCGCTCAAAACCGGACTTGGAACGGATCGTCTCGAGGAGAGCGGCAAGCCGGGGTCCAGCGTCGCGGCGCCGATCGCCTTCCGTCTCTGCGGCCAGAGTGGGGCGCTCGGCAGCGAGGGAACGAGCCGACGCCGGTGCGTCCAGTTGATCTCGCACGTCGATAAAGGAACGTACCAGGTCGGGATGCTCGCGTTCGAGAGCGGCAAGGTCGGATTGCTCGAAGAGGGCTCCCGCGATGACACCACGACCAGTCTCAAGCAGTTCGATAGCAGCAGCAGGGCCTCTGTTGGCATGCAGAGCAATGGCTGTCGCGTCCGACGAGAGTCCGACAGCCACGGAGAGGAGGTGCCGCTGGTCTGAGTTCTGCAGAGAACGGGGGGTCAATAAAGGAATCAAGTCGATCGTCGTTTTGGCAATGGCGTATGCTTGTCGATCTTGAAGTATAGCTGGGGATGTCAGAAGATGACGGCCGGCTGCGACACGCATGCTCACAGCGGAGGCGGACTGACGCAAGGCAGCGACGAAGCGTTCCTTGCCTTCCTCGAGGTCTGCCATCGCTCCGTTCCGCGAGAACCTGTCGCTTAGACAAATTCCGAGGTTGTTCAGCCATCCAGCCCGGTTCGGATGATCTGACGGGGTGGCATCGATGGCTTCTCGTCCTACTTGGATCGCTTCCTCGAGGTCTGCCATCGCTCCGTTCCGCGAGTATCTAGCGCCTAGACGAACTCCAAGGTTGTTCAAGAACATAGTCCGGTTCGGATGATCTGACGGGGTGCCATCGATGGCTTCTCGTCCTACTCGGATTGCTTCCTCGAGGTCTGCTATCTCTGCAGTCCGCGAGTACCTGTCACTTAGGAGAGGTCCGAGGTTGTTCAAGAATCCTGCCCGATCTCGATTGTCCAGCGGGGTGGCATCGATGGCTTCCCGTGTCACACGAATGGCTCCCTCGAGGTCTGCCATCTCTGCAGTCCGTGAGTATCTACGGCCTAGACGAACTCCAAGGTTGTTCAAGAACATAGTCCGGTTCGGATGATCTGACGGGGTGCCATCGATGGCTTCTCGTCCTACTCGGATCACTTCCTCGACGTCTGCTATCTCTGCAGTCCGCGAGTACCTGTCGCTTAGATGAGTTCCGAGGTTGTTCAAGAACGTAGCCCGGTCCGGATGATCTAGCGGGGCGGCATCGATGATTTCTTGCTCTACTTGGATCGCTTCCTCGAGGTCTGCCATCTCTGCAGTCCGTGAGTATCTACGGCCTAGATGATTTCCGAGGTTGATCAAGAACCCAGCCCGGTTCGGATGATTTAGCGGCGTGCCATCGATGGCTTCCCGTATCATGTGAATGGCTTCCCCGAGGTCTGCCATCTCTGCAGTCCGTGAGTATCTGTCACCTAGATGATTTCCGAGGTTGCTCAACCATCCAGCCCGGTCCGGATGATCTAGTGGGGTGGCCTCGATAGCTTCCCGCGTCAGACAAATAGCCTCCTCGAGGTCTGCCATCGCTCCGGTCCATGAGTATCTATCCCCTAGACGAATTCCGAGGTTGTTCAATAATATAGCCCGGTCCGGATGATCTAGAGGGGCGGCATTGATGGCTTCTTGCCCTACTTGGATCGCTTCCTCGAGATCTGCCATCTTTGTAGTCCGTGAGTATCTGTGGCCTAGAGAACTGGTTGTCCTGGTATTTCGAAGCGGCTCGTTAGTAGTCCGAAGTCTTTGCCAGGGAGGAAACTTGTCACCCACCCTTCGAAGCTTTAAAATCTAGAATAGAATCGGCCCTGGTGTCGAATGAGTGGAAGATTCGACCTCTGCCCTGCCTAGAATCACGCCCGAGCCACGCACCCACATGCGGCGAGCTATCACATTCTTAATTGCCATTCGTAACTGCTGACACTCAATGCTGACTTGGCATCTTCGTGGCTTGGCGCACTCAGCTTTCAGCTGGCAGAATCTGCATTCGTTGTACTGTAACCACCCTTTGGAGAAACTTAGCTTCTAGGATGGGGGCCACCTCGTCATAGCAGCGTCATGGCTCGTCTTAGACTTTCAGCCGACAGTCAGCGCGTGCTGTTTTGTCACTTGTCAGCAAGGCTCCAGAGTTAGATTTGTAACTCCTCGCAAATCCACCGGTGCAGGGTCGCCACATGCTCTAACCTGGTGCAATTTGTCATTTTCTGTAGGATCACTGGGACTGCTATCTCGATGCCTATTGGCTGCCGCGCGTACGCTGGTCCCAGACGTTTGTTCATGTTCGTGCACCTGCCAGAAAGTCGGAATTGTCTGCTCGTCGTCCGGAATCGAGGTAGGGTCCGCAGGCCATTTCCACTCATCAGGCCAACCTGTAGGTCTCGGCCAGTCCGAAATACACATTCTCAGGACATGACGGAAACGGTGCCAGGTCCCGGAGGAGCTCCTTCTCGTCCAGGGCCTCCAGCCGGACATCACTGCTTTCCCACCGGAATGCGACGTCCGGACCTCTTCAAATCCAAGAATCCGGGATCCTCCCCTTCCTAAGCACCCAGCAAAGACTAAAAGCTCTGATACCAGGCTACAGATTCTGATCGCCGCCTACGACGACGTCATGTCGGCTGTCTGTCGCGGGTACGAAAACAAAAAGCAGGAGAAGGCCAAAGCCAGGACACCATTGCCGACCGGCCGCAACAAGAAGATCGACAATACCGCCGAGTGCGACGAATGGGAGCGCTACTTCGGCATCGCCACCCACGCGGCCCAGGTCAAGTCTAACTGTCTCGTCGCCCTGAAGGCCGTGGCCCTTCGCTGGGGTCGCGAAGTCGTGCTGCACTATGACTGGGCATCCAATGGCCCGAATTTCTGCAATCTGCCTTAGCTGCCACACTTTCCCCAGTGTGACGCGCTGTCACGGGGTGATAACGCCTGCCTGGTCGTGTGCCGCTGCGGTATGCGCTGAGATGAAAGGGAATGGAGATGGATCCTCTAGCCGTGGTTTCTTGAAAGGCTGGGTGATGTCGGGCAACGAGGCAGTACGGCGGCGGGTGGGAGAAGGGGCAGGAGGGGCGGCCCGGTCTGCGGCAGGACGCCTGGTCCAGACTTGGTCAAGAAGGCGCTTGGCCGCGGATAGCAAAGAAACTCTCTGGCTTGAAGGTGGTGGTATTATCCAGGGCTCCTAAAAGGGTTGACGGCACAGGACAGCATGGCGGGGGCGGAGCTTTGGGGGCGGGGGCCTTCACTGGGTGTGTTGGGGAACCAGGACTTTTACTGTGAAAAAATTAGTGTTCAAAGCAGGCCTCACCTGATCGTACTACTGCAGGCGCCTGGGGACTGGCACTGCCCATCATTCCGGGCGGTAGTGCGCTCCAGTACCGGGGGCGGGGCTATAGTCAATGGCCGTGCGCGGGGTCCCCTTGTGCTGACCTGCGACGCGCACTACTGGGGACGCGCACTACCTGCGAGGTGAAATTCAGGTACGTGGAGAAGAGGCGAGGTTCAGGTAAGTTTGTAGGGTCCGTGATTTTGATACTTGGCGGAAGCATCTATACTAAGCCGTTAATGAGGCGAAGCCGTCTTTAAGCTTTCGGCGACAGTTTAGACTTCGAAGCTATTATGTGCTATCTATCGGACTTCTCCAAGGTGATTATCCGGACCAAGACCTGTCATGGAGCAGAGAATATCCGAATCATTGACACTGAAATCTCTTTTCCAAAAGGCGAATTACATACAACTCAGCCACAGAGGATCAACTCGTCCGCATTTCTAGGGTTCCCGGCAGAGTGATTTCATTCCCTGTAGCGTTTTGATGGTCGTGTCGCTGGGACACTACTCTAGAGCCGTACTACATTCAGGGCCAGTTGCGACAGCCTGATGACTTATCTAAGTGATTCAGAAATCATGCGGCAGATAGTTCAGGGGGCCATCGGCTTCGCTTGGCACGACACTCTCCATTTGCGGTACTATCGACAACTTGATCAATAAAGAGATTCTCGGTGCTCGGGCCATGGGCGGCTTGCCCTGGGCTCGGAGCTCGAGCGAACCAGTGGAGTTCGCAGAAGTGCGGCTACTCAAGAGGTCATAGTGCGGCTAGAGGAAGAGCTCGTCGGGCCTATATAGACTAGTACTAGCGTGCCCTGGGAAGTTCAAGGAGATAGTATTTGCTAGCAGGTTCACCTCGCAGTGATATGCGGCATTTGACATCACCTAAGCGAAATTTAACAAAGTTTTCGCCGCGGTAACCTTCGATCAGTCCTGTATGATTGATTGAGTATACTCATGCACGAGGGATAGAACTGAGGCTCATGGCTTCAGTAGCAAGGTAGTAACATTGGTCTACGAATACTCCCTGCGCTCTGTTCACCTAAGTTTTGCTCCTCTCTCGGGTAGTCAATCCTCGCGCTCTAAGAGATTTCATTGATCTATATACGGGGTAAATTTCTCAGCTAGCAGGTGGATCAGAGAGGGGGAAAAGCAACGGAGGCAGCAAAGCGATGCCCCTTCTGGCGGAGTTGCTTCATCTTGTATTGAATAGGAGATAAAGTGTCTCTGAGTGATCGCACCTTGTTCGATCAAGCACGACAACGGGTGCTGATGGTTCCTGTCTGACCAGCGTAAGGGCAGCTGAGTATGCCTGCATCATTGCCTATAGTGAGGGCTTTGTTGAACACTCAGTTAGCCTATCGTAATCATTGACCTGGTAGGCTGATGTATCTCGGATCATTAGATCTCGATCCTCTCACCCCGCGCTTAGATATCTCACGCTCCGAATAGAATCCGATCTGCGTAGCACAACATGGATTTTTCTACATGATGCAACGGAGCAGATCGAGGAAACGTGGTATTTGCGTACCTTTCGTCCGCAGGTATAACAGACATATGGGAATGTGGATACTTACCGAGGTCGTTCTGCAAGGACCTGTATCCAGATGGTAGCACGCCCCTGTATGGCCCATCTTGGCACGCCCAATCGAAGTGATGACCTTGCCTCTTGTCATCAGGATCTCCCACTTTGATCAGGGAGATCTTGTGGCAAGGTTTCGGGGACCAATGACGATATTGATCTCGTCCCTGCCTCACGGCAACGCTGCCTTGGCCATGTACGATGGGAAAAAGCCAGCCTTCGTACTCGTAATAGCATCTTTTAAAGGATTTATGTCAGTTGTCATATGTGTATTCTGTTGGACCGAGGACGTGCAGCTTACTGGGTCAGCTCGATCTGCGAGCACAATCTCGTCCCAGGAAGCAAAGTATGGTCGCTCAGGCATACAGCCACGAAGAAGATCTCTTCCAGCTCCGAGTCAACCTCGATATGCCACTTCTCACACGTGTTGTTAAAGCCCGGATAGTCATTGCCTACATTGGTCTCGGCAAATGTCTGGTTAGAGTCAAAGCCCAGAATCTGGTCCGTACTTTGACTGCTCTCGCTTTTAATAGTGCGAACAGCAGAGATACTTCGGGAGAGAGTCATCACAGCGAGAAAGGTATTTTTAGCGTCGCTTAAGCGCATCTTGTGGCTGCAGGGTAGGTATTTGTGCCGAGAGAGTTGTGTAGTAGTTAAACCGTTATCAGCTACGCGAAGTACTTCGACTGCTATTATAGAACATCTCCAGTATCACATGTGGGCGACGGCAAGGCCAAGGTGTTTCGTAAGGTTACGGGCAAGGGTAGCAGAGAGTTAATGTAAACAGTCCGCTCAAACTTGTCAACTTGGCGAGCAGGGTTGTAGACCGGCTTTAGGTTAAGTAGTAGGCTCAATAACATAAGGCACAGGAGTCTCCAAGGAGATCCCACCGGAAAGGGCGTCCGCTTCGCACTTACCGACAAGCAACATCTCGTCCTTCTACGCTGTATCCCATGCGATTATCCTCAACGGTGATCAACGCATTTAGTGTGTCTCAAGCTCCCCGAAGGGTAATGTCCACACGCGATCGCCGAGTATCAACTAAAGCCGCCTTGGACCACGGTAACTATTTATTCACCGCCAAGCAGTCAATAATTGTGGATGCTTCTTAGCTAGACAGTACCGCACAGTTTGTAGTTTTTCCTATTATGATGGGTGCCAACATATTCACAGTCTACAATACGTGTGTGGCTCGCGTGCTCCCGTTGGCGAGAGGTGTCCTGTCCAGTGCCTGCGCCCACGGCGGAGCAGGGAAAATAGCAAATCCAGCAGGAGTAACAGCACCTTCGCTGCGCTGCCTCCGCAACCTCTGCTCCTTTCCGCACAGCGTGGCCGTGCTCATAAGCACCTGCAAATAGAATCATGGCTGGAGCGACCGGACCGTGTACTCCGCATTGCCTCGGTCCGTGAGAGAGGGATGACCTGAAACTCGTCCAGTCTGACTTAGATCCGCTCGCCAAGAGACGGCTTTCACAACTAGAATGACTAAACCTTCCTGCTCACCTAACTATTCTCTGTTTCCTTCGCAGACCCGTCCTTGTCTTTGGCCTGATTATGGGGCCTTGTTTATGCCGTCTCAGAGCCCAAACAATCCCTGGTTGGTGCGGGTTGTCACGCTCGACCAGAAAGACTCGTAATATCAGGACACGAAATTCAACATGAGCTTCTAGGATCTGATTAAGACGGTTTCAGGGTTCGAAGAGCGATTTTTCAAGGACGTCAAGGCCCGTAAGATTGATGTAGCACTGTGTGAAGTAGGGGAATGAGACAGTCAGCACCTGCACACTTGGACCAAGGATTGCCTTCGCTTATTAAAAACTGAACGAAGTTTATCACTGAAATCTCGGGGCTTAAAGTAGAGTGATTTGGTGATCTAACAACCTAACGATCTCGCTTATGGCATACAACTTAGTTTTGCAGGCTATTTTGTATGCACGAATGTAGTCCGCGTTTGAAAAAGAGTTCGCTTGGGAGGAAGCTTCAGTCTGTATAGCTTCGACTGGATGGGATATGATATTTTCCAGCGGGACCATCCTTTCACCCACAGAATCGAGTAAGTTGCTTTATTGAATAAGTCTTTCGTATTCCTGGAAGGCTCTGAGCGGTTGTCACTGGGCCCGTGTCGCTTCAAGCACCACTCTTGGATACCCTTGATCCCCCCCCACTTAGCATTCAGCGCGGTATATATAGTATCGCTATCGTGGGGAACTTCGACATACACAAACTGCTCTCCAGAGGGCAAAGGGCGATCTTCTGAGAGTGTAATCTCATCGTTGATCAAGGTGGCGTATATAAGACAGTTCACATCATCCGCAATGATGAATCCATTTTCGCCAACCCGTTGTACAGTCGAATTCGAAATCGGTGTCCACTTTCGCTTAACGTCACTCTCTCTGCGCACGGTCCGCCTTGTCTTTGCAATGCCAAGTGCATGGAGCCGCAAACAAAGCTACCTGCAGGTAGGTGGGGCAGTCAGGACAGCCATTTCAGGCTGCAGGCAGGATTCACTCATTGCATAAACAGGGCGATGCCTGGAGAGCATTCCTTAGAAGCACTCCCCTAGCTTCTTTGGACCTGTTTTTCCAAATGAATTTCTACTCTACAGTCGAAGTTAGCTTTGACCGGGTCTTATGAGGTGTTTTCATCTTAAGTGACCTTCCTGTCATTTTGGCATGGGCACAGGGGAGAGTTGTTTTGTCTAACCAAGTACGGCTTTCTCACACGAAGCTCTTGCCTTAGGAAGGGTTTCCCAGCTAATTTCGCGACTACTAGCAGCGCGTCCACGGCTATTGTGTGGCTCATACTCGTGATCCAATTCGTACGGATAATCAAATCATACAGAGATGTTCTCCTTGATCGAAGTTGGTTCAAATACTGATGTCGGATGAGATGTACAATATGATCTAAGCTTACTGCTGAGTGAAGCCTATTCCATCTTCATTTTATGGCAAGAATCTTACAAATGACTAAACAAGACATACTGTATATTCTCGGAAACTAAGCTACGATACATCAGAAAGGCAATCTAAGCCCAGCTCTGCTTAAGGCAAATGGTCAAAGGATAGTCAAAGGCGCCAATTATGATCTACGTGTTTCTAGATAGAGGTGAAATGTAGGATAAAAATGCGGCCAGTCGAGCATGCAATAACCAATTTCGTATCTGCATCCACTGTGGCCCACCTAACAACTCGCGATCGGAGCTCTGGATGAAGCCAGAGGACCGGCTGCGAATCCCTCAAAATCCATGCACCATCCGAACTGATACCATAGCGTTGGCGGCCGGCCATGACGGACATATTTGGATATAGATCCAATATGTATTCCACGTCATTTCCGACACGGAGTACTTGAACACCGGTATATAAATATGTGTCAGTCGTGTTTAATGACAAAGAGCCATCAGCACCAACTTCGTATGTCGCCTCGCACGTGGCCGTAGCCGCATCCCACAGCTTGACTGTCTTATCGTCCGATGCCGAGACAACGCGGCGACCGTCTGGGGAGAAGGCTGCCGCCCGGACCGAGTCAGTATGACCCTCGAGTGTCGCCTCACATGCGCTCCACTTCTCCGATAACTCCGGTTTGCACGTGACCCAATCCGGGAACTCGCCGTGAAACAGCTTCCGAACCAAACTTTTGGCAGGACTGAAAACGAGTGCCGAGGCGTAACATTGTAGTGGTCGGCTCTCGAGCGCCGGGCGAAAGCCTCGTAGAAGACGGTACACGTCAGCAACTATTGTCTGAAGATCTGAAGCACTCGGACAATCCTGCTCGGGTCAGTAGTGTTGACGTGCAAAAGGGCACATAAAAACATACCCGAATGCACCGTTTGAGAGCCTCTAATGCAACGATGCTATCTGAGATGCCACGTAGTAGACTCAACGCCTCAATCCAATACAGAGCTTTATTCCGCAAGAAGCTGTCTGCTAATCCGCCGTCGCGCGCGCTGCTGCCTTCAACCTGATCTTTAATGGCATCCACCAAATGATTGACCCAGTAAACACAGCAGTACCCGACTGTCGAGAGTGGGTCAGGCATCGGCGGCTTGATTTCCTCGATTGGGAAGCCTGGATCGCGTAGATTGTAGTTGTCGCGCTTCAGTATGCTGGACGTAGCCTCGATAGAGCTCTGGAGGATGTGGCTGTGGACAGATGGCTCTCCTTGGGGGAAGAGAACGACCGCGTGCGACTTCATCAAGAAGTCCTTTGCCGACTGGTGGACAAAGTACACCTTATCTTCACGAATAGTGAGGAACGAGCCGCAGAGGCTGATGATCTCCTGTAGCGATTCGCAATTGGTCCCTATATCCGAGGACTCTCCGGTCAAAGTCATCAGCTCGGGAAGCGACGGTGGCCGATAGGTCGTTGCTATAACCGCAAGAACCTGCGTACAGGGTTCGGTATCCTCTGAGGCCATAATTTGCTCCATCATTCGTCGATATAGAGCATCAAGGCCCGGGGGGAAAGACTTCACTTTCTGTAACGCGTTTGCTTGGCGAGTCTTCTCGAGTTCTTGACATACCAAGGCAACCCAGAGAAACGTGCCATCTGCTTTCGACGACAGATATTGTTGTACTTCCTTAGCGAGATTCTCGCGGTAACCCTTGCGTCGTGCGAGCTTGGATACTTTGTGCTCGATGTATGTGTCTACGGCTTTTGCGACCGATTTTTCATTGACCTCGAGCGACAACCTGTGGGCTACTTCGCGTAATGGTTCCTCAATCTGAGGCCAATTACGGCTTGAAATGAGCCATTTCGCTGTGGTTGTTTGCGAGGTCCTGACCACCAGATCGAGGAACACTGGCAGACCTTGCAAACACTCGTCCAGAGCGTCGACCACAAGGATAACTCCATGAAGTTTGGGATCCTGGAGAATGCTGTCGAAGATTTCGCATAGCGCCTGCCAGCTATTGGTGTCTTCGAAGAGGGCTCTGCCGGCGGCTGCGTGCTGCTTTTCCATGTAAGAAACGAGGGAGGCGTCCTTCTCGAGGAGCATGTCGATCAGGCTGCGTAATGCAGCCGTCGCAGTATTGATGCGCTTGTCGGTGGCCTGGAAGAAAAAGTAGGATAGAGTTTGTCCCTCGTTGCGCATCCTCTCGAGTTCATTGATGATTCCGCAGAGCAGCATGGTCTTGCCCTTGCCTGGATCGCCTTTGACCCAGAGTAGTCGCTGGTCGGCATTGTCGCGCCACTGATGGAGTTCGGGGTTGTCGAGTACCCAGAAGTAGGCGTCCCTAAGTAGGCTGCCCTTGGTTTCCTCGATGCGCCTCTTGTCATGGCGAGGATTGGTAACGTGCAAGTCGGCAATACATTGCTTGGCTGCTTCGCTCATTGTATCCTCGCCTGTAACCAAGAAAACATATCAGGAAAAACTGGTCAGCCTCTGCCCCAGCTGATTGGGAAGCGCATCTGAAGCCACGGATGCTTACCAATCTCTCGTCTCGCGCCTCCTGAACCGGATCTCCCACCTCGTGAATCATCTATCAAAGGGTCAGCCTCAATCCTGAAGGCAGGTTGTAAAAAGATATTTCGAAACGGTATGGATGCTGCTACATGACATTTTATTGCACACGCGAAGATCCTGATCACACACTTGTGTGGCCCATCGTTATGAACGCTGTCCCAGTTTCGCGAACCTCTTCTGCAGCATATCCTCTGTCTCATTGGCCTCTTCATCCTTCTTCTGAGGCACTGCACTAGGAGTCGGCTTCAACTCACTGTTCTTCAAAGCACTGTTGTATATGTCGAAAATGTTGACCTGCACCAGCTCGAAATTGTCCTTGTCCGCCTGGGCGTCTCCAAATTTGCAGACGGTGGAGTGGTCTGCGTTCAACTTCACAACATTCTCGCGGTCGCCGGGAAGGCTCAACCGTGCGCTTTCCTTGGGAACAACCTGTCGATTCCAAGTCAGCATCGCCAGCCCTAGCCTCAGAGATGAGGCACACATACTCCATCTTGAGATCCCCAGAACGAGATAATGTCGTATCTCAGGAGCTGGTGCCTCCAGTGTTCTTGCATAATGTCCGAGAAGATGCTGCCTGCCTTCAGCGTCTCCAGCACGTCGTCGCCCTTCTGAAATCCTGCCGACGTGGCTATCTTCGCCGCGAGGCCGCCCAGGCTCACCAGCTTCCAGTCTCCACCATTGTGCGGTGTGGCAAAGAAGGCCAGACCCGAGGTGGCATCCTTGATAGGCGTATACTTTAGGTTGTTATGTGCGTTGATCAGTGCCTGCTTGATCAGCAGCCCACCCATGCTGTGCCCCAGCAGGAGTATCGTCTTGTCTGATCGATCCTCTTGATGCGAATAGCTTCGAGGAGCTCGTTCGCCTTGCCGACAAACGTGTCCCGATCCTTGCCGTACACGGCCGTCGCGTTGTACTCGTATAGGAAGATTCGCGCGCCTGGAAGGTAGCGGGGAAGATCATCGCGGAGCCACAAGCGCCCGCTGGCACCAGAAGGGGTGCGCCATGTATCCCAGGCATGATCTACATCGCTCTTACTCCGCGGATTCAGTCCGTGGATGGCAAACACGCTGCCACAGGTGAGCAAGTAAATTGGTTGATTGAAGGAAGTCTACATACTCAACTTTGGCTGTATCATCCGCGGTATCTTCTGGGTTTGGAAAGAGTTGTCGCAGTGGCTAGATCGAGACAGTTTAAGCAACTGAACGAGGGGTTGGCGCTCTACTGACAACCAGGAATGACTAACCATCGTGGATCTCTCGCTTCTAAGCTGTGCGTCAAGAAAGACGGGATGACGGGGCCCACACGCGAGGATTTCACGCAGCGCCTGCTGTTCTGCGAAAGCTCAGGTATAACTAACAATTTATCTCGAAGAAATTTACAGGGCCACCGGGGGATGATATAGCGGTGCTTGAGACGAGGTCAATTAGCGGACAGAAAGTGGATATTCAGATCTGTCGCGTACACAGCCCCGGACTCTTGGCGGAGTTGCCACCTTGGCTGTGTAAAAGTGTAGGAACATAGGCGCAGAGAAAGCAGTGAGGGGTCCGAGAGGTTGCCTCTGTAAAGTAACTAGGAATGTTCTTGGTTTATGGCCAGGAAATGGCGCGACCACACCACCCTACGACTGTGGCTGAAGGTTCTGCTCCGCATCAAACACGCTAGCGTATTGTAGGTGCGGTTAGCAGCTGGTTCGGAAGCTTCTGCGGCCTCGTCAGCCTCCAACTTGACAGGAGACTACACTACGCAAGTGGAATAACCCTGTACTGGTGTGGTGCGGCTGAGGCACACCGTCCAACCACTGACCAAGCCATTCCGAGCTTGACCAGGGTAGCAAAGTCTGGACACGGCAAATCCCGTGCCGACATGCTTTTGCTCTGGCTGGTAGGGATGTGGCCTTGTACAGTACGATTTTAGCCCTATTACCGTACGTACAATGGGAGTTGTACAATACAGTAAAGTTAGACGTATCACACAAGCGGAGTGACCACACAAGCGGAGTGACCAATTCAATTAAATTTTGTTCAGACCATCTTTTCCCCTCATTTTCTCCACCAAAAAATTGGTAGGCCAATGGAAAGAAAGCCAAATGGTTCTCGCGCTTTACGCGCTCCAAAACAACCCCAAATTATCTATTCGAAAAACCGCAATTGCGTACGAAGTCCCATACACAACACTCCGTAAGCGAAAACACGGCGCGCACTCCCGCCACGATATCTCTGCGAATTGTCGAAAACTTTCCGATTCCGAAGAAGAGGAAATCGTACGATATACAACTGAGTTAGCATCGCGATGGTTTCCTCCCCGCTTGAGTGGTGTGCAAGATATGGCAGATCGGATCCTCGAGTTACGCAACGGGGGACGCGTCGGGAAGAACTGGGCTTCAAACTTCGTACGACGACAACCATCGCTTTTTACGCGTCCAAATCGAAGAATCGATTATCAGAGGGTTCGATGCGAAGATCCAGACGCGTATCGCGCGTGGTTTTTTTACTCGTACGGAATACAATCGCGAAATATGGTATCTGTGAGGAGGATATTTACAACTTCGACGAGACTGGGTTTGTACTGGGCCAGATCTCGTCTGAATATGTTGTTACAACATCCGATCGACGTGGAAAACCAAGAGCAGTACAGCAAGGAAATCGTGAGTGGATTACAGTCATCCAGGCAGTCGGGTCGTACGGCTACGCAGTTCCGCCTTTCATCATCGTTGCGGGGAAAGTTCACCTCTCGTCTTGGTACGAAAACACCCCAATGCCGCCCGACTGGGTAGTCTCTGTCACTGAAAACGGTTGGACTACAAATGAGAAAGGCTTAGAATGGGCTCAGCATTTTAATGAGCATACCAAGGCTCGTACGAAAGGCGGATTTCGACTTCTTATCCTTGATGGCCATGGAAGCCACCACTCGACAATTTTCGAGCTTTACTGTCAAGAGCATAATATTATCACACTTTGCATGCCGGCCCATTCGTCCCATAAGCTCCAGCCTCTCGATGTCGGTTGTTTTCGTCCATTGAAAAGGTCGTACGGTAAATATATTGAGGATCTAATGCGGGCGCATATTACCCACATCTCAAAGGAAGACTTTTTCCCAGCCTTCTATGCCGCATTTATAGAGACTATGACTGAACAAAACATCCGAGGAGGTTTTCGAGGGGCGGGACTAGTGCCGTACGACCCAGAACATGTGATCTCGCAGCTAGATGTGAAGTTACATACTCCAACACCGCCAGGGTCATCGTCCGGGCTTCCTCAACCTTGGGAACCAAAGACGCCTTCTAACCCGATCGAGATGGATTCCCAAACCGAATATATGAGAAGCCGACTCGTACGACATCAAAATAGCTCCCCAACTTCAATTGTCGAAGGTTACAATTCAATTGCAAAGGGTGCGAAGCGAATGGCTTTACAGATTGCGTTACTACAAAAAGAGGTTGACGAACTTCGAAAGGGAAATGAGATATTAAGCAAACGTCGCCGTACGAAAAAAAAACAACTCAAGGGTAGAAAAACACTCCGAGTATCCGATGGACAAGATATCTTACACCAAAAGGAGGTGGATAGTCAGTTACAAGAAGAATCGCGTCGGAAAGATGGTCGTACGAGGAGGACTGAAACACGTGCGCGCCGCTGTGGTGTCTGTGGAGAAGCCGGCCATAATGCGCGAACATGTGAAAACGATGTATAATTGTCTGATGAATCGGACTCTGATTGAATTGAATTGTTTTTTTTGTTTGTGGTTGAATTAACTTACATGTTGTTATACGTGGTTAGGGAGAGTGGTCACTCCGGTTGTGTGGTCACTCCGGTTGTGTGATACGTCTAACGTTAGTTTGATAATTTCTCCGTAATGCCAATTCGTGGCTTGTGAACTTGAACAGTGTAATTGGCTGTATCGGCACTCTTTTCCCAACAGTTGGGCAGTGCTTCGTCGATTCGGTGCATAAGTTAATGGCTTACGTGTGACTTGTGTACTAACACGCCTGCTGGTGAGAGGCCCCCTCAGACGGTCTTCGGATTATCTACACTCGATACCTGTTCCAGGCATAATTGACTGACCTATTCATGATGGCCCTTTTCGTACTCTTGTTTTATCGAGCTGCGTCCGCCTTCCCATTACATGTAGCTGCCCGAAGCGACGCTAACATCACGATCCCCGCCGGAGCTTCGAACCACGGCGATCCGAACCTGCTCTGCCTGCCCGCCGACTGGGACGACATTGCCCAGTTTATCGTTGCTAACTACGTCACCCATGCGTTCACCACCACCATAACCAGTGGCACCGGCATCCTAGGCGTTGTGTATGCCGTAGCAAAGTCCCTTCTCTTTCCGATTGCAAGCGCCGCCTACTGAACCCGACGCCCCCCGGGTTGCCTGACAGCAAGGATCCAGGACAGCGCCGCAGGCTAGGCCGGGTGGGCACTCTTGTGCTTGCCAAAAATAGGTCCTGTCGGGGTCGGTGGCCTATCACCGCCCCGGATGTCGGACGTCAAGGGCTGACAGGCAGGGGCACTGCGCCTCAAAGCCCATGTCGGAGCTGGCATTAATGTGAGATTTGGCGCAGGGTCAGATCAGCCCTACTAATTGGCCTCAGGAGATGAGCATGTCGCGCTGGATGGAGCGTATAAGAAACTCTGGGAGCCCCAACGGCTGACGTCGTGGTGCATTCCGCGAAAAAATCATCGGGTATTCATTCGACAGCATAGAACGCACCCGCAGCGGCAGCATCGATCGACAGTCACGAGCCGACGACTTCCTCGACACATTCGTTTAAGCATTCTTTTTCTAGGCACAATCAGCACACACCATGATGAACGCGCAAAGACGACTGGCGGGCCTGTGCCTGGCGGCTGCGTGTGTCCGCCGAGACAGTCTGCGATTTCGACTGCACAAAAGCACCCTCGATCACCTCGGCCAAGATAGACAATGAATGTGAGCATGCTCGGCACCTTCACGAGTCGCGATGTCACACTAGCCGACCAAGATGACTGACCTCGATCGCGTCCTTCTCTAGTCTGCGCAAACGCCTGGAGCCCCGAACCCGCTGGCTTCCAATGCCTGGCTGTCGCCGCGGACGGCGCCTCGTTCCAGGCCGACTGGCACTGGACGAGCGGCGCGCCCTTTGCCGTCCACTCGTTCCCACACGTCAACCTGCACTCGGCGCGCATGCCGGTGAAGCTCGAGAACATCACAAAGGCCACCCTGGCAGTGGAATGGGGCATGGGCCCCAACGCGACGTTCCCCAAGGGCAACACCCACGTCACCGACGCGGTGGCGCTCGACGCGGCCAAGACCATGGCCACGATTGCCTACGACCTGTGGATCGACGAGGACCCGGATGTCGCCGCCTCCGCGGCCGAGGCCAAGTACGAGATCATGATCTGGCTCGGCCACTACGGCAACCCGCAGCCCATCTCGATGACCTACCCATCCGTCCCGCAAGGGTCCATCATTGTCGACAAGAAAGCCTTGTAAGTCTCCCCCTTCGACTCGCGAATTGCACTCTCGAAGAAAAACCATCAGCTGACCGCCTGCCTTTCCCTCGCAAACAGCACCCTCTACATCGGCAAAAACGCCGTCGGCCAGACAGTATGCAGCTGGGTCCTCGACGCGCCCTCGACAGCCTTCAAGCTCGACATTGTCCCGCTCATCGCCGAGCTCGTCAAGAAGAAGCTGATCCCCGCGGCGGCGTACCTGGGCGGCGTGCACTTTGGCGTCGAGGCCTTCTACGCGGCCGAGACGATGGCGTTCGTCGCCAAGGACTACACGCTCGCCATCAAGGACACTGCTGGCAGCGACGATGATGTCGTGACCTCGAGCAAGACCAGCAGCTCTGCGCCCACGCGCACGCCGACGAGCGGTGGCTCGGGCCCCGCGCAGACGATCAACTGGACACCGGTGACTCCTACGCCTGGCGGCAACGGCCAGTCTACGGGGCGCCGTCGGCCGGGTCGCTGTCGGTGTCGCGGATGAGCGGGCTGCAGCTTGTTGGGTGTCTGGTTGCGGGCTTGCTGGCTGCTTACGCTTTGTGAGGGTGATGAAGTGATAGAGCACAGCATCCACAGTGGCGTGTTTGAACAGCATTAGACCGGGGATATGGTTTGTGAGACGGTGAAAGATACCACAGCGCTTGACCTTTGCATAGCAGCATTGCTCTTTCTCGGGAATATAATTATAATGTACTCCTCAACTCATGCACTCCTCTTACCCTGACCACGCATGACTTCAGACTCGACCTCCCCCAGTGGAAGGATATCTGTCTTTTGGCGAGGGTGCCAGAAACAGACACGACTACGCGGCTCAAAGCCTCTTCGTCCGCCAAAACACCGCCCAACCTCCAAAAGCCGAAGTCAGACGCGTAAAGATGATCAAGGGACCATACCCCGAGCCATATCCAAAGACCCCCAAACTCTGCCTGCTGCCCACCGCGAGCAGCGGCACAGACGCGAGACCGCCGATGACATACCCGATCCCCCTCGCGCCATTGAGGAGCCCATACACCATGCCGGTGTCAATTGCCTCGTTGAGGGCAGCCGCCTCGCCCGCCATATCGTTGATGAAGCCGCCCCAGATGGCGCTGTAGCCGCCCGAGAAGAAACCAAAGATCAGCGCAAATAGCACAAGCACCGCCATGCTGCCGTTCGCCGCCATGCCCCAGAGCAGGAAAGCCGAGAGGGCTGACGCGAGGGGCGAGAGCAGGCAGACCGACGACGCGGACAGCGACACCCTGCTACTGTCGCTGAGGTAGCCGAAAAAGTACGACGCCACGATGCCGGGGATGTTGAAGAGCGTGAGGAGCAAAGTGGCCGAGGACTGCGACAGCGCCGCCACGTCGTGCGCGTACGTGCTGAGATAGGTCTGCGGGATGCCGTAGCCGGAGCTCTGCAGCAGGATCGCCACGCTGTAGACGTAGAACGTGCGGTGGCGGAGGAAGTGCCAGGGGATGCTGCGTGGACGGTACGCCACGGGTGTCTCTGCAGATGGCGGAGCAGGGATGAGCAGGATGGCTGCTACGCTCGAGGCGGCTGCTATGGCCAGCCACACTCGCAAGGCGGTGCGGAAGCCGTAGTTGTCGAGCAGCGCGCGGAAGAGGAACGGGCAGGCCGATCCCACAATGTTCTTGCACGACAGCGTGACACCGTAGGCAATGGCCCGGTTGTGCGTCTGGTGCCACTCGCCCAGCGTGAGTGTCGTGGGACTAAAGATGAGCGCGCTTCCAAAGCCGGCGAGCACACCCTGAGTGGCCACGAGGTGCCACACGTTTGTGCTGAATGACGACGCCAGCAGGCTGAGCGTGAGGAGACCGGCGCCTGCAAAGGCTGCGGCGCGGCGCCACTGAGACCATCGGCGGACGAATAAAGCAAAGAGGATGGGCATGGAGATATAGGTCACCCCGTTGAACGTCGTGCCGATTGTGCCCGTGATCTCCACCGGGCCTTCGAGCTCCCAGTCGCTCATAAAGTACTCTTGTAGGACGCCGTAGCTCATCGCGAAGCCTATTCAAGCCAGTCAGTGGATGCGCATTTGGCTTCCGACCTTGGGAATCATTGTACCGTACCCCATATTGGGAGCTGCAGGATCGACGAGCCGAGCAGGGAGCGGACTCTCTTCCTGCGATGCTCGTTGCTGCCACCGCCGTTATGTCGTTCGTCATCGTTCTGCGCCTCGGCCACTTCCTCGTCCGGGGGGCTGACATGTTGTAGCCTGAAGCTGTTGTCTGTGTCGGTGGCTGCCATTGTTCGTGTTACTTCATTCAAAGCGTGCACGGTTCAGCTTTTCCATACCACCGATAGGTGGACGATTGGTTTGCATTGATGAATGGTTGGTTTCAATCGATGTGATATAGGCGCCAGGGCGGGGAATAGTCAAAACAGCTGACGTCGATCATCAGGACCGGCCCGATGAGTAATACCTCCAACTATGCTTCGCTCCGCGACCGGTACCCCTCGCCAGTCAGATTCGGGGCAATTCTCCCACCAACATGTCATTTGTCAAATGCGGACCGGGTCCCGGCACACGGCGTTACATTGACTGGCAGCATTTGGTTTTCACTTTTGAACATACGTTGCCAATTTCATCATGTCTAGAGGGTAGACACACCTCAGAGTGTCACAATCCTCGTCACTGGCATATGCGATTCTGAAAGACTCAAATGTAATTTCGAACCTACACGAAGTGAAGTATATCGCACTGATCTTCAAGGGTAATTGTCGTGTTGCCAGCTCCTCTATTTCAAAACCCCCACCCTCACACAGAATGTCGCGATGGCTTCAGTTTTGTGGCCCCCCGCAGCAATACCGCCGAGACGGGCAGTAGACTGGTTCCTCCTCTTGCCTTTGGGTTGTTTTGTGCCAGGACCAGAGAAACCCCAGCCCACCCGATCTCCACCCGGTTGTGGCCGTGTCATCCTCACCGTAAGCTCGGATCGTCAATCGAACCTTCGGTGTCACAAGCCTGGCCACCTCAGAGCTCACGGTCTGGAGTGGTGTAGTCAAAGGGGTACTTTAGCACAGTGATGCCGCCAGAGTACGTGCTCAGATCTGGATTCACCTGCGCCTAAAATCATCCCAGAACTGTCAGCGTCTTCTATTTTCGAACCACAAACGTCCAGAAGAGTGCAGCATGCATGCACACATACCTGGTTGATGGTTGAGCACGTCGCCGGCTGAGCTCCCCACGTCTTGATGGTGGCGGGTTTGTCTGCGGAAATAGCAATCTCCACCTGCTGCTTGCTGGCTCTGCTGGGGTCGCCGCTGAGGTAGTTGAACGGGCTGATGATGATGCCCGAATGGGCCGTCGTGAAGACCGTGTTGGGCAGGTCACCCGTGTGCGGCATGTGGTGCATGCCGAGGTTGAACCAGACCACAAGGTCCTCCTGGTCCAGCGACTCGCCATCAAAGTATTTGGAAAAGTCGATGAGTGGATCGTCGATCTCCGCGAAGCCGTACTGGTAAGTGCAGGTGTCCTCGCTGTCCTTGCGCTTGGTGACGTAGAGATGGTGCGTGGTTTGATGGCCGGCGTTTCCAGTGAGGTTGGAGTCCTGGATGGTCAGGTATGCCACGCCGGACGCTGTCGAGCAATGGGCATTAGCACAAGTACCTCTAGAGGGAAACCAGGAAAAGAAAAGGGAAAAACTGGGTAGAACATGCCTGGGTGAATCCTATACCCGGGGTACTCCCCGTACGCGTTCGGCTTGTCCTTGTTCACAACTGCATACATGGATGCGCCGTTGGGCGACCAGTTGATCTTGCCGTCGTCCTCGGTCGCGACGAAACTCTTGCGCGCCTTCATCGTGTTTCTGGTTCCGTTCAGCCAGACGTACTTCTCCGTGGTCGGGACGATGTCGACCTTTTGCATCGAGTTCTCGGTACCCAGCACGTCCAGGTCCGCCTTGAAGGTGATGACGTGGTCATGCAGCGAGCCCGACAGGCTGTCGTGGATCTTGAAGCCGTAGTCCTCGTTGTTGGCATAAAAGGCCGACGAGATGTAACCGGACGCGCGGACCGAGACCTCGATGGAGCCGTCGAGGTAGAACTCGTAGGACGTCATGTAGTCGTAGTTGCCGATGGTGTAGACGGCCCGGACAGTAAAGGCAATGTTCCTGGTGACGCCCGTGTGTCCGGCCCATCCGTGGCGCTGGATGGGACATCCCTTGTCCATCTCGAACAGGCAGATTCCATCGCTCTGGGTGTAGCTCGTCTCCTTTGTGGTCTGGGTGGTGTTGAGGTAAGTCGCATGTCCCGGACAATCGTACCCGCGTACAAGGGAGACGATTGTGGGTCCAAAGCCGTTTCCACCATCAAAGTAGCTGTGCCAAGGTTAATACATCAGACAAAAACAAACCGACGTGTTTTGCTTGGAGGAGAAACTAACACTGTGCCGGACTGCACCGGATCGATTCCTCTGTGCATACATGTCAGCGAAAGGGCAATACCATGTGTGGACTGGACGCTAGTGTGCTTACGCGTAATGGGCAATGGCTTCATCCAGTCCGAGCTTGCCGTGGTGTTAGCGCAATGGTCCCCTGATTGGATGGAGGTATGAGGCATGACGTACCTCGTAAAGGATTCTCTTCCCCTTGTATCTGACATCATACAGCCTCAACCCCTTCTGATGGGTGCTGGATATGAAGAAGCCAAAGTCCACTGCAGTTGCATTGTATTTAGTGAGAGCAGGTTCGGCAACACTGGGCGGCGGAACATGGACTTACTCCACTCGACATATTCCTCCTTGGGATCAATGGCGAACCTTGGCGGGCCTTGGTTGATGATTGTCGGCGGAGGCATCTCGTCGAACTTCAGAGGGTCGCCGTGAGAGTTGGAGTGAGCCCATTCCTGGTCCGAAGTGCCCGCCAGCTTTTCAAAGTTGGGGTCCTTGATGGCCGCGCGCAGGTCATCGAGCGCGGGATAGAAGACGTTATTGTAGACCCATCCTGTGACATGCCACTTGGACGCATCGCGGCCGGTGATGTTTGATCGGACATATAGACCGAGGGGCAGGAGCGTGACAGTGTCGTAGATGCTGGTAGTCGGGGCGATGAATGACTGCCACTGGTCGAGGTCTTCGCCAGTCAAGGTTGTGGGAGCCATGAAAGCCAGGGGTAGCTGGATGTTGTCCGCGGCTGTCAGGTTCCACAGAAACTTGGTGACGTCCTCGGCTTCTTTGATGATGCTGTCCGTGAGCTCCTGTAGTTTAGTCTGATCGGCATTGCGCACCCTGATCTTGCCGTGGCCGCCTCTGGTGGTCCTGAAGGTGTAGGGCGACACGGTAGATGTGTTGGTGATTGGCAGGGGCCCGACCATGTACTCGCGAATGTGGGGCTCCTCGGTGGCTCCGAACATCAAGATCGCCCTTGCGTGGCGGGTGGGCTCGCCCGCCGTCGCGTCGCCGTCGATATACCGGAGTACTTCGGTCTTATTGGGCAGCATCAACTCGACCGAGAGGATTGCGTTGTCCCACCTGAGGCGAGACTAGTTAGCACGTAGCACTTCCCATAGGCTCGACCCGGTCATATCACAAGTACGTACTCGGAAGCGTTGGCGCCAGCCGTCAGGTTCAATCCTACAGCATCGCTGTGCAACAACTGAATGACATCGACCGCCTCCTCTTGAGTCAAGCCCTGCCAGATGTTCTTGTGCGGGCCGACAGTGGTAGGCTGCTCATACGAGCACGTTGTGTTGGAGCCATACTGGGCGACCCGGGCTTGTAGCGACCGTCGTTGAAGAGGATTGCTCAGAGCAACCCCAGAGACAAGGGCTGCCAAGAAGAGGTTGGCGAACTGCATCTTGAAGGGCGGATGAGTCTCGAGCGCGAGGTGCCTGCAGCAAACATCGTGGTCAATTCGTCGTGAGAAGAGACCATTCTTATAGCTTTCACATCTGAGGGATTACACGGGCCCTGTACTCTGGGCCGATACCGCAACTCGCTATATCTTCTTTCCGATTTTTCCGTTGACAAGGCTCCAGACAGGCCCAAGGAAGACGTCTGTGATGGTAGGCATGGCATTTTGCCAATATGTCATTCTCATCGGGGAAGGGACGGACTAGTGTTAGGGTTCTCCCACAATGCAAGACGTTGGGGACCTGGGCGGTTCACCAATCAGCGACGCTTCCGTTATCAACTACATACCTTAAGGTGCTTCCCCTGTTGGCTTCTGCGGGTCTCCATGTGGGCGGCACGGAGCGACTTCAGCTTGCTCAGCTGCTCTAAGAGAGAGGGCCGTGCTCGGAGAGTCGCTAAGAGATAGACGGGATTGAGACCACTTCTCCACTTCGGAACAACGGAACTGTTTCCGGTAGATATCCCAGCCAGCATCTTTGCAAGGCCTGGCGAGCGGTGGGACTCGTTGCGATAAGGTGAAGACTTGGGCCATGTCCGTGGCTACGCTTTAATACACGCGCTGGCCTACCAGATCGTCTGTGGCTACGCTAATACACACGCGCTGGCCTACCAGATCCTTGCATTCCTGAACCCATGCTTCCACGAGCGGACAGTTATCGACAAGGCTGCGCATATGCGGTCCTGTCGAAAGCGCAGGGGGTTCGGGCTATTCTTGACCCTGGCTGTCCCGACGACTGGGGAACGTGTCGTGCCAAATAATGTCATGCTCCCATCCTGCCGGCCTCTAAGTTCCTCTGAAACATGCGAGATGTATTCTCTACTCATGGTCTGTCCTCTGTCCAGAGCCACGATGCTTATGCATATCAGCAGGACCACCTGAGCAGGATGCTGCGCTCTGCACAACCCCGAGTCGGCGACCAAAAGTTCCCTCGATCACTGCACCGGCAGCTGGGGGGCTGATCATGCCGATCTAGACGTACAAAAGTACAGTATCATTGTCCAAATCCTGAGCGGCAGCCTCGACTCGTGCACGGCACTCGGCCTTCATCGAGTGACCCGCGCCCCTGCATGCTGCAGCTATTTCTTGAGGTAATACTTGACCACAGATGCGACCCTATAGGGTAGTACTGAGTATAATCGCGCATTGCCGGCCTCCGACCCCTGAATGTCCCCGGCACGGTCCGCACCAACCACACGCGGCACGTAGCCACGCGTTTTACGTAACTCATGATGGTCTTGCAGGCTACAGCGTTTCGCTTCTCAGCATTGGCCTGCGGCTTTTTCGACTTTAGTCACGGGAATCTCAACAGGGATTCTGCGGGACAGAAGACATAGCTGCAACGCGGAGGGCGCATCAAACCTTCAAAAGTTTCAGAGCATCTCGGTAACAACAGCCTTACGTAACTCTGTGTCATATTCTGGGTCGTTCGCTCCGCACGTGGCCGTTCCTATGCTGTTGCGATATTTGGGGCACATTCCCGTGAACAGATTCCAAAGGTTCTGCCTCGCCTGCCAACCAACAGGATCATCATCAACATGGGCGCGCGAGGGTTTAGATTGCTTACCCCTACCTGCTGACTGGCTGCGAGCCTCCCTTTGCCCGGGCCAGGGTTGCTACAGAAAACAAGGTTGGGCCGCCCGCCCCTGGGCAATGCTTAAGTAGGCGCTTGGGCCGTCGGGGCAAATTACCTTATAGTTAGTCCAGTGGGGGAGCGGGCGAACTCAAACTTTGAGCAAGTAAGCCGGCGAAGCTTCCACTAAAGTCGCAAGCTAAAATCAATCGTACCAAATGCTTCCCTCGCCCAGGAGCCTGACCATCATTCCCGGCCGGGAAGCCCTCACTTTCGCGCATTCCTGGTGGGACAGGGGGGCGCGGGCACGGGCCATTGAGTGCATTCCGGTACCCCAAGTTGAGTTCATTCCGGCGCGCCAAAATGGGCTAACCCCCAGCTAACCTAACCCCAACTCCAAACGTAACCCAAACCCCAAGTGGCAGGGGTCGAACCTTAACCCCCAGCTTAGCCACGCGTGTGCGGCCAGGTGCTGCTACAAGAAAGGGAGAAGGTAAGTAATAGGTAATAAAATGAGATGAGCGCGTACGCGTAATAGGACTAGCCCGGGAGTCTAAAGGAGGGAACGCGCGTGAGAGGAGAGGCAGGACGAGGATGAAACGGACACGCGTACGCATTCCGATTGAACTGTGATGCTAGCTTAGGGTCTCTTCCCAATAATATACGCGAGAGTCAAAGATCAGAAGCAGCACCGAGAATCACATACACAGGTAGCAAACACGATGGACCGCAGCAGCCAGGGAGGCGACTACGAGAGCGATCACGGCAGCGCCGCGCAGCAGCAGCAGCAGGACGCGAGAGCTGCAGCAACGACCGAGCCAGCAGCGACACTAGAGCTCTATCTATACCGGGCGAGCCGCGTACTAATCTGCACGCTATGTAGGGCAGGAATCGCAGCGGCCATAGGCGGTATAGTTACCCACTACCGACAGAGGCACCAGCTCAAGGGCGGCCAGCTACGGGCAGTCAAATCGGCCGCGGCAGCGGCAGCAGTAGCAGTTAAAGGCCGTGGAGGGCTCGCAGAGCCACACGAAGCAGAGGTACCGGCAGACGGTAGTCCAGCCATCCCGCAGCTTCAGGTCCACTCCGGATTCTGCTGCAGGGCATGCCGATTCGTAACGAGGAGCCGGGACGAGGTCCAGAAGCACCAGGCGAGAGAAACAGCTGGCGGCGATGCTAGGCACGGCGAGGGTTCGCCAGGCACGGGCCACGCGCTAGCGGCAGGGCGGCAGGCGACCCCAGAGGCGACAGCGGGGCCGGACGGCGGCGGTGGAGGTGCAGTCTGGGAGGCCCACATAGCGGCGTACGAGGCTAAAGCGGCCGCCGAAGAGGCGGAGCGGGGCCGGATTATCGACTACGAGGCCGGCGTCGACTTCGAGTCGCCGTGGGTGGGCCAGATGGGCTGGGCGGCGCATCTAGCCGGCAAGGATATGGCGGAACTACGGCGCGCCGCCGAGCCAGGCCTATCGACGAAGGAGCTAGCTAAGCTAAGCCAGGCGGTACGGAAGGAGAGAGAGGCTTTAGAGGCGGCGCTCGTACGGCTAGGCCAGAGCTTCAACCGGGTAATCGAGCGGTGTAGCCGGCGGATCAGCCAGGTGCCCGTGGAGACGCTCTGCTGGCTAGCAAGCCGCGACCCGAACCGGCCGTCGCCGCAGCCGTTCCGCGTAAAACAGGAAGCGCACACGATGGAGAAGTACCGGAGCCACTGGCGGCGCTATCTCTGCTACTGCGTCCGGGTCTTCCGGCTCGGCCGTACGGAGGCGAGGAGGAAGTACCAGGTCCAGTTTACCGACAAGCAATGGGCCGCTCTCGAGGCCGTTACGGAGGCTCTCGATAATACGGAGGAGGAGAGCTCCCGGGTAGGAGGCGGCGGCGAGGAGGAGGAGGAGAAGAGCGAGAACGACGGATATCTAGACGAAGCCGTCTTTACGTTTTGTATTCTGTCGCTTACGCAGCAGGTACTAGTACGACCGTACGTAAACCCGCTACTCCACTTCACTACAGTACTCGCGATCGACCCCGTCCGAGCACGATTTCGGCCGCCAGCCGAGTTTACAACACTACTAGCAGGTCTAGCATGGTGTAGCCGCGTACTACTACTAGAGTACTTCTTCGAGCACGTCCCGATCCAGGAAGAGGACAGTCCTGCGGACTCCGGCGAAGGGGAGGACGAAGGGCGTAGCCAGCTCCAGGCCAGGGATATCGACGTATTTATGGACGGCTACCGGCAGTGGATCGCAGACGGCTCGTACAGCCCGTTTAGTACGCTAACCCGATTCTTAACGATCGGAAAGGGCTACCGCCAGAAGGAAGGGGGGGGCAGCACGGATCATCTGGGAGGACGGGAGGCAGGCGCTCCGGCTACACGGCTTCCGGATCGAGGTCCAGAACTTCCGGCGGATGGCCCAGGGGCTCGTCTCAACAGCCGAATCGGCGCTCGACGGGCTTCTGTACGGCCAGTCGGCGGTACTACTAGAACGGATCGAGCTCGGTAAAATCAGCGATAGCGTAATGTACGAAGGGGGTGGGAAATCGTTTATCTGGAACCCGCAGAACAGCTGGCTTCAAGCCGGGCCCCGCGTCGTTGCCGAGCTCGTTTCGGAGAGGCTCTGGTCGTCCCAGCGGCAGCAGTACCACCGGGAGCGGTCGCAGAAGTGGCTAAACCAGATCGGAGCGCTAAAGAGCCAGCTACTCGTACTAACGCACGTCTGGGGAGGCCAGCCAGGCCGAGGACCCGAGATCACGAGCGTGCGGTATCTAGATACGAAGCAGCTGAGCCGGAGCGTCTATATCTTCGACGGGCAGGTAATGCTCGTAACGGACCGAGATAAGGCCAAGTCGATCCGGGGCTACGGCCGAAAGGTCGCACGCTTTCTCCCCGAACGGGTCGGGCAGCTACTGACCATCATTCACAGGCAGTTTGTGTCCAGTTGGCGCGTCTCTGCCATACAACAGGGGCCAAACGCTCGGGCCATTGCATTCATTCTGAACCCCAAGTGCGCCATACTAGAATTGGCACTTGGACACAAACTTACAGTGGGCAGGGACTCGATGCAAACTGGGGCAGAGCGACGTCGGGCTCGGGAACCGGAAGGAAGACGCCAGGCATGTGAAGAGGTTATGTGAAGTGTTCCTCCAACAGAGCCTATGGTCCAGGGAAGCCTCCCGCGACTGGCGCCTTGCGCTAAATCAGGGCCTGATTCAAGGGCGCTCGGGCCCCGCCGGGCGTGCATGGTTGGCAAGGGTTCGCGATCGTGATTCGAAAGACAATTGGTACAGTTGGCTAACTAGCCACAGCTTCGAACAGGCCCTCGCGCTCTTCGGACGCCCCAAGTCGGTGACCGGCTTCTTCCGGGCCCAGCGGCCCATCGAGAGCGAGGTCGAGCACTCGTTCACCATCAGCCTGCAGTATGACGGGGCCCTTCTGGGCCTGCTCGTCACCGTCAAGACGGCCGTCACGAGCCCTATGGCGCAGCAGCTCAAGCAGCTCGTGCGCGGGACCAAGGGCTCGTTTGTCAAGGTAAGGATTGAACCCTTGTAGAAAGCAGAAGGAACCGCGTGCTGACTTGCCAGTACTTCCAGCAGCGAAGCACCTGTCCCCGGGAGGAGGGAGCAGATCGGCGCTGGTGCTAAGCCCCTAGATGAAGGATTCGGGGTCGAGTCGGAGGCCCTGCGCGGCATCTTGACGACGTACAAGGAGTTCGACCCAAGCGTGCAGAAGCATGACCCTGAGACGAAGAAGTACACCGCGGGGTACCCGACCGTCACGGGACGGTGGATGGGGCTGTACGAGAACGTGGCGGATGCTATTAACGGCAAGGCCAAGCTGGAGGTCAAGGCGACGCAGTCGAGGATGGCCTGCGGCTTATCGAGCCGGCGAGGGAGTCGTACGATAGGGGTATTACAGTGGCGTGGAGGTAAGGAACTCATTTGTGCATCAAGCCGTTGGATCATGGTCTATAGATCATCATCGCGTCATTAGACTTCATGAGCCTGGATCTGCAGCGTCGCCCTGCGCCGTCTTTCCTTCCGCCTCCCACCAGCTCTTCATGCCCTCAACGTCGCACCAGTCAAACTGGCGCGGCTCCTCGTACCACCACCTCTCCCCCGGCCTCCTGGGCCTGTCGCTGACGTACTTCCTGAGGCTCCCGCCGTCCGCCAGGTGGTTCTTGACGCCGACGAGCAGGATCACGGCGCCAACCCGCGGAGCGAACTCGTCGGGGTCAAGGAACACGGTCAGCAGGACGCGCTTGCCGGTGGAGGGGTCCGCGACGCGCGCCGTACGCATGGCGTAGGCGGGCACCGGGCACGGCTGGACGTTGTCGAGGGCGCTGACGACCACCAGTATGTTGATGGACCAGTTCTGCTTGTAGGGCAGGTCGGGGATGGACCGGAGGCGGGTGAGCTTGAGCGGGATGGAGGGATGGGTCCAGTCGCGCGGCAGTGCGGCGGGGCCACGGTGCGCGTAGGCGACAGCTTCTTCCCTGCGTCGAGAGGTTTTGGAGGGCGAGACGACCATGTTCTCGACATCGTCCGCGTCGAGGCCGTCGTCGTCATCGTAGTCGTTGCTTTGTTGCTGGCGAGGCCGATGCTTCGTCGGTGTTGCTTGGCGCGATTGGCGTTCCGCCTACGCCAGTGCTTCATTGATGCCCTCGAACTCGAGCTGGCTGCTGGGTATCAGGTCGACCTCGTCCTCGACCCCGGCCCGGTCGTCGTGTTGCCCTGCTTGTTCGCCGACTTGCCTGGCAGCCGGGCTCACTTGCGCAAGTTCTGAATGCCACCCGACGGTGACCAGGTCGCCAATGACGAGGTACACCATCTGCAACGGGGCCCCCGATTCGTCGTTGCCGAGTTCCCTGTGCCGGATGTGGAAGGTGTCGAGGCGCACGAAGCAGCCGACATGGACGGCGCTCGCGTCGATGAAGCGGTGCATCTCAGGGCGCAGCAGGGCCTGGATGCACAGGTCGCCGTCGCCGAGGACGAGGCGGACGGCTCGCCATCGCGTCGACCGCGGGAGGGGGGCGATCGTGACGTCCTCGACGAGGAAGATAGAGCCGGGGATGCAGTAGCTGGTGCGGAGGAGCTCGACGATGAGCAGTTTCGGGGTGAAGGGGTCGGACGGGTCGGCGAAGACTATCGGGAGTTCGGGCGGCGCGGGGCCAGGGTCCTTCTGGGCATCTTGGTCGTGGTCGTCGGGAGACACCGGGAGAGGCATGTGGAGGGATACCGTACATGCTTCGGTCAGTCGTGGGAGGGACGGCGGTGTTGAGTTGTTGGTTGGCAGATGGAGCAACCTCAATTGGGATATCGGGGGAACATACCACCGATACCCGATGTGTCTGTCCGAGCTGACTAATCATGACTCAGCAGGGTTTTAAGGGTAGGGTCAGGGTTCGGCGCAGAGTCGGGTCAGTACATTGATTGAAAGAAGTCAGCAGACCTGGCATGTGTACAATAACCAGTCAATATGACGCGATGCACTTGTGGCATCCGCGAGTGGAATCCGATCATCGGCGACAAACGCAAGGTGATGATGACGAATGTTACCATCCGCTTCGAGCAGGCGAGGATGCGCCGCTGTATGACAGCAGCGATGAAGCAAAATTGTACCAGTTTGGTAGGCATATGGCGTTGTCAACGGTAGCGGAAGTGCGAGCGAAGTCAGCTCGACGGTTGAGTAGGTTATCACTCCCGTAGTAATACAGAAACAGTGCCGGTTTGGGCCATTCGTTTGCTGTCGTATGTCGAAGAGCAGCCCCGATCCACCTGCTCATCAACCTAGTCACAGTGTATCTTCCAGCTGGGACCACTCGGTCAAGTTTTTATTGGAGTTATCCGGGGCCTATGTACTGGTCGCGACGAAAAGATCACTCGCCATCAGGATGTCCTTGGAAAAGCATTTCGTCACCCGACGCGATTTATGACGCTTTCGCTCGCCAGTTGCGTCTTGCAAGAGACGCTTGTTTGGCGCCATCCTTGCGAGCGGAGGTCGTGGCAGCTCCAATAGCACCGCCCTCTCGAAGTCAATCATCATCACCCCGTTGGTTTCCCGACAAAGAAGAATGTTCTCAGCTCGCACATCGTTGTGAATGACACCATGCTGATGCATGGCATGCAAGCTGCCTTTGACTTGCTGCTCCACGGTATGCACAGTCCCTGATGCCTCATACAGGCTCTTCCCACCCCACGCCAGGAATGTCAGGTGAACTATGTACACTCTGAGGTCGAAAAAGTACGTCTTGTTCATGGATCGCAGATCGATGGCGCCCAGGTACACGGGCACATGGACACCCTGCAGATCATCCAAGCGTCGATAGACGGCAGCTTCGTGTTCGAGATCGGGGACAAACGCCTGGATTGTGCCCTTGCACACAAACGTGTATCCATAAGCAAGCAATGTTACCTCGAAAAGTACACTGCGAGCACCGCTCTGCTTGAGGGGTGTGATGCCGTCGTCGAGTGTCTCCTCTAGCTGCGCCCGGAGCAGGTTCAGCCACTGTGCGTGGTCGACGGGGTGACGGAGGGCTGTGCCATGATACGTAGCCTCTTGGCGGTGAAGTGCAGCGTTTGGGCAGCTCTGGTCAAGAGCATGTCCTCGGACCAGACCAAGAAGGCACTTCTGGGTGCAGAACTGTCGGCGTTGCCCGCTGTTATTGACGCTGCCGCCTCGTTGTCGCATGGCTAGGCGCGTACTCCGTCGGGCTCCTTCTCGCGTATTTCGTTGGGCTGGCGTTGGGGTGGTCGGCGCCCTTCGATTGGGCTCCTCGTCCGAAGACTCGGACTCGTCGTCCCGTTTCGAGGGCTGGATGCCGGCATCGGCGTGGCCTTGACCGCGCCGTGGGTTTCTTCGTGGACGGATCGGTGATCGATCTACATTGCCGTATGTAGGGGGTTGGTAGCCCGGCGAGCTGTCCGAGAGAAAGGACCGGTCCTCTTCAGGGATCGACCGGTATGTCAGATCGAATGACACCTCCCATTTGTTCAGCTTCTTCGTAGCCCGGTCGCGTTCATCCTGGCCGTGCGACCGCATTCCTAACCCGTCGATGGCTAGCAGCGTGAAGGCCAGATACTGAGCGACGGCTGTGCAGAGATGAGCGTCCTTCGTTTGGGCAGCAACTTCGGCACTCGGCACCGCCAAGTGATAGAAAAGGGTCTCTGGCTCGTCCCAGTCAACCTTGAGAAACACGATAGCTTCGCCCGTTGTCAAGAGGCTGTACTCGAGGCCGCCCTCGATCATGTAATGGTACGTCTGCGTGATGGCTGACGCGGTCAGCCTTTCGGCGTGGTATGCGAAGCGCGCCTCTGGGTCTTCTGAAGTCGGTACCGTCTTCCGGTTTACGACCTCTTTGTACATATCCGTGACGCGCAGACCGACATGCAGATGTTGGACCGTCAACTTGTGCGGCGGTTTGTACTCGCAGATGTAGGCCCTTGTCCGCTCCCCTTGGGCATCGTCGGAGCGGTAGATGCAGATCTGGTCCGCCTGCAGCTTCCTCAGATTCTCTCCGTGCCCTGGTGTGCTTGGTGGTACGGTACGAGCCTGCCTGTCGATCACCTCTTCCGCCGTTTCACTCAGTGCGTGCGGGTGGTTCTCGAACACGATGCCGTTGCCAAGATCGAATGCCTTTCCGACGGCCGGTATGTTGACAAGCTGATTGATGATGTTCCTCACTGGATCCTCTACAGCGTTGTGCAAGAAGAACTCTAGGACTTTCTCGTCTGCGATGCTTCGCCCGCCGATTCTGGCGCCCATGGTAGCTAGAAAGTGCTCGCTCTCAAAGAGCCGATCTGAATCAAGCCGGTCTGAATCGAGCCGGTCTGAATCGCAAGGGAAGGTGTCTAGTAGGCGGCCAAATATGCGCCTTTGCTGCTCCAGGAAGTCCGGCCATTGGCGCAGGCTGGTAGGACAACGTTTGCTTTGTGGATTGGTCAAAGAACCTCGTGATAACCGGTCGGGATTGGACTCCACCTGAAGTTTGGCGAAGACTAACCGATGACATGCGTCGAGGTATTCCTTGAAGGTTGTGCGTTGTGTCTGTTGCTCGGACGCTTCTGCTCTCTGCTCTGCTGCTTCGCGTTGTTGCTCTGCTGCTTCGAGTTGTTGCTCTGCTGCTTCGCGTTGTCGTCTTTCTTCCTCGAACCGTCTTTCAGCGGCTTCAGCCCGCAGCTGTGCTTTACGCAGCAGGTATTGCATTTCATTTGTAGTTTCGCGATCCATGCCGATGGTCTTCTTTCTTTCGTGATCCCGAGCAGTGTGGTTGATGGTGGAAGTTCGGAATCGTGTTGTTTGTTACGAGGGTAACACAGCCCCACTTTGACCGTGGCTGCCTAGGCAACAGGCAGCCCGCAAATAGCCGACGCACATTCGTCGGCCCATCAGCACCTGAACATTTCCCGCAGGCTATCCGAACGCCCCTCGTCACTTCAAGAAGGACGGGACGACAAAAGATACCAGCCCAAGATCCAACCCCGAACGACTTTCCGGCTCCAAATTCCATGACGACGACTTTTTGTTCTTGAGAGCCGTCTGGCAGCCCTTATTGACCACTCGCGACATGCCAGACGGCGATGTCAACCTCGCTTTGTGCAGACGGCTCGGCATCAGCACGGATGTCTTGGCAGTTGCAGGCGACATTCTGTTCCCCACACTGCCGTCGCGGGTCTGGAAATGGCCCTTGAGACAACATCACCAGCCGAGCATGGCGCAAGATGTCACGGAACGGCTGGCTCGGCTGACGATAGAAGACTACTCGCCATCTTCTGGCATCGATACCCTGCATACTCCGCTACGGCCCGTCGTCCAACCCGTCAGCCCACAGGCTCCTGATCCGCTGTTTCCGATAATCCGTCTCTGCCGTTTCTTGCGGCGCTGATGTCGCCCTAAGAGGACGCGACCCCGTGGCGGACGCTGCCTCTGGGCGGGACGACCAACTTTCAGGCCACCAGGAGGCTGATATGGGCAGATCAGGACCCGGCCAGGATGACCCAGGGGGCTCGGCGTACCCACAGCTGCCCCGACTCCCGCCACGAAGGCGGACGACAGCACTTGTTGAAGCTGTGCCCTCTGGAAAACAATCTCTACCCATCCCCGGAACCCGTGCACTCCTGCCTGCGGCAACCGCCTATCCACCCGACCTCGACTGCACGATTGCAACCAAGGCCGCGGCCCGCGATTCTCTCGTCCAACTCGAACCTCACCGACTCCACTCGGCTGGATCCCTCCCGTCTCGACCGCAGCCTCGAATTGCCTCGAGCCGTCCCCGTGCTGTATGCTATCGGCTATAATCGAGGCCGTTGCTCCATTCATGGCCAGCGACAGTCCTTGTCGCGAACGCGTCCAACTCGAACGTCGCCCATACCTCCCGCTCCCGCCATCATACCAACGTCGACGCGGCCGACCTGGCGTCACCCACGGTCTCGCTCCAGAACCCACCCAAACGAGCCCCCTGCTAGAAGCCCACGCAAACGCTCCGACAGACGCCTCGGACTTCCCCCTCACGATTCCTTCCCCCCATCGTAGATGATGGCCAGAAGCCCGGTCAGAGCTACTCGAAGCTCATCGGCATGGCCATTCTACACGCGCCGCACCGACGACTAACCCTGGCCCAGATCTACAACTAGATCTCCGGCACGTACAAGTTCTACAAGGCTAGGGAGGCTGGATGGCAGAACAGTATTCGGCACAAGTTAAGCATTCACAAGGCCTTTATCAAGATGGAGCGCCCAAAGAACGACCCCGGGAAGGGCAACTACTGGACGATCCAGGAGGGCATGGCGATGCAATTCATCAAGGAGAAGCCCGCTCGCATGTCCAACGCTGCAGCAAGCATACCCATCATTTCGTCTTGTCTTGGGCCCTCGAGGCCGATACCCGAGCCGACACTCCCTCCCCCATTGCCGATACCGCTGCCCACATCACAGCCAACTCGACCGGCCGAGCCTTCGTCGGACGCTACCATCCCAGGCCCCGATCCCCTGACACCAGAGGTTGTTGCATCGGGCGCCTATCTCAAACTCCCCAACTGCTTACCCCTCGCGATGGTCATGAAGTCGCCGACAGTTCCTCGCCATGTCCCCATACGCCCCCTCCTTGGGTTCTCCCCGCCGTCTTTCAATTGTAAGCTCAAGCGCAAGCTTCCGTGTATGAATGACACCGGCCTCATCTCCGCCGACCGTCTGCGGTCGAAGAGGAACCGACCTGACCACAGAGGCCGTGCCGAGATGGAGATCGCCCGCCTCCGGGCGGAGGACCGAGGCCGTAGCACGGTCCGCTCCCACAATGTCTTCGGCCTGACATCTTGGTCGCCATTCCGCGAAACGGGCCAAATGCACCTGCCTCTGACTGCCATGATGCTCAAGCCCCTTGACAAGCCCTCGCCGCCTGGCTCTCTCAACACCAACCTCCGGATGCTCCGCAATCAGGTCCGCGAGATACTGCAGATCCCACTGCGCAATATGACGGACGAGGACCCCGCGCCCTACTGTGCCGATTCTAATTTCAACGCAGCCTTCTACGACACCAGTGACGACCCGCCAATGTTTGGAGATTTCCTCATGTGGAACGATCTCGACGTGTACGGCTCGCCCTGGGAACATTAGCGAGGCCTCCGAAGCTCAAGCGAACTCACGTCACCACCGCACTACGCGACATCAGCACCACTGGCAATCTACTGCTACTCCTCTGAAGCTTAGAATCTAGTCGAATATCATCTGGGAAACTCCGAACAAGGCCTTCAGCGGGCTCCATTCGTCTCCGACCAAGGGAAGCGCCGTCCAGTCCCCCGTTCAGCCGCCTTACCCACAGAATAAACCCCCGATGACCAACATGCCCCAAAGGTTATATTCAGCGTACCGTAACTGTCGTTGGAAAATTGGGTACCACTCTGACTGGGGAACCAGTGTGATGTGATGTGATTGACCTCATGGAGATAAGAAAGTATTCTGCGACGTTTCAACAAACCACTCGCTACTCTATCCCATATAGCTGCTTCTCCGGGTTTGTTATGGCTTTACCCCAGGCTATTTGCCCGACCTGGTGTGGGTGGATGATTTCGGAACTAAATCCTCTCGCAAAATTCGAAAACTTTTGTCTCATGCACCAGTCGGTCACTTATTCTTTAACTGTGAAGCTGCTCATCGTGGGTAATTGGAGACAATGGCCTGCGGAGGGTCACCCCTCCTGTTGCAAGACGGGTGCCATACGGCAGTACCTTTTCTACTTTACTCAAGACGGGTCTGTGCTGACTCCCTTGTTGTCACTGTGGTCGTCGACTGCTTAAAGTACTTGTGCCTGCTGGAGTAGCGGTTAGGATCACTTTGCCGCTTTTGGAGCGCTTCGACTTCTCAAAAGCATGGTGCGCATTGCATAGATGGCAATGAAGAGCGTCACAGATGACTCGAAGCATGTAAAATCTTGTAGTCACGTAACAGATCACTGTCAGAGCCATGCCCACTTGACTGGGCAGGAGCTCAAGTGTGGTAGTCTAGATTCAAGTAAAGTCCAAGAAGTGAAGGTCTCGATTGCTTGGTCTTCGCCCCCTTCAGCCTGAAGGGGGATTCTACATATTAAAATACAGTGGGTTCGTTCTATCTTTGTTGCAGCAGAGTCCTCACAGGGGCGCCACTAGCGCAACACTTGGACAACAAATGCTCCTGGCTATGCGTCTCTGAATCTCTTATTCCTTCTTCGCGTGACTTTCAGCCAATGCTTTGGAGAATCGCTTCTGTCTTTCGACCAATCCATCCTATGTTGACAGTTAGCCAGTCTTCAGTACTAGAGATTCGGTGTCTAATGTGAATACTAACCACGGCGCTTGACGGAGAGAGCCACAGCAGCATGCGCGCCATGGCAACACCTCCACCCAGCCATATCTTGCCGCTGGCACCCCGCTCCACGTGGCGGAGCAGTTGAGTGGCAAACGCCTTTGGCTCCATACCATAGGGATTCTGGTCCGGGTTTTCCTCGATAATGCTCTTGATTCCATAATAGTTGGATGACTCGGGTATCGGCAAGGTGCGCATGTTGGAAAAAAAGCTCGTTGCGATGCCGCCCGTCATGAGAGTGATTGTGCGAACTCCAAGGGGAGCGAGCTCAAGGCGCCATGTCTCACTTCCTTGAATCAGAGCCGCCTTTGAGGCATTGTAGATGCCTAGACGATGAGAGAAAAAGAGTTAATGCAAGTTTTGCCATGATGCCCTTATCAAGGAATGAATACAGATACCTACTTGAAAAAGGAAAATTGATTGCTCCGCCGACAGAGGAAATGTTCACCACACAGCCCTTGGCCTTGATGAGCAACGGGCCGAAGGACTGCAGCATGGCCATCGGCCCAAAGAAGTTGAGATCAAAGAGCTGCTTGGCTTCCTTGAGAGGGGTGTCGAGAACGGGCGCGTTCAACCCCAGCCCGGCGTTGTTTATCAGAACATCGAGCTTGCCCGCCTGCTTGGCGACTTGTTCCGCCGCGGCGGCGATGGAGTCGACGGACATCACGTCAAGGCTCATCACGGTGACATTGGAAGCGGCGTGCAACGTCTGTGGGACTTTCGAGGGGGTGCGGGCGGTGGCGAATACATGGTAGCCGTGTTCTTGGAAGACTTCGGCGATGGCAGCACCAACGCCGCCAGCGGAGCAGCCTGTGATGAGGGCGGTCTTTCGTACAGCAACCATTCCGAAGTCGATGAAGGGAAGCAAATGGCTTGGTGGAGTTTGGAGGTTCTTTTTTATTGTGTCCTGTGGTCATGGAGAGCCAATTCCCATCAGCGGAGCCATCTGCTTATATATGAATGCGCAAGCTGATGGCACCCGTGGCAAGCCATGTTTCCCGTCTTATGCTTCTCCCATCTCCTTGAAGCTATGTTGCTTTCTCAGCCGCAAAATTACGAAGACTGCTTTGCCTGGCTAGCTCAGTTCTCGTGCCCGCCATATTTTTGGTGCTCAAGTCGTACATGTACTGCCTGGTTGGGTTGAAGCCCCACACTGATGACTTGCCCTTTTCGGACGTTGCTCAATCAGCAGCCCGCCGTTGCATCCAGTGGAGCCACTATGGAGACCTTGCAAGAGCACCCTTGTGTAATGCCCTTTTTGGCAAGGTCATGTCAGCTCGAGGCTTGGATCAATGCAAAACACAACACACACACCGCTATTGCCGACTTCTTCCCTGGGACGGCCATCTAAATGCGCCCGTGGACCCGTTAAACCCGACTGTGCAGGCGACTCGCTAGGGCGATGATGAATCCAAGGTCATCAGCTTCCTCCTCCCAGGCCTCCGCGCGTTGCCGGTGGTGACCTGGTGCGACAAGCAGATCGCCAAACATTAACCGGTCGCCGGCGCCTTCCGTCACCCGAAAGACACTCATCCACGCGGCCTCGCTGTCTGCCTCCCAGAGGGCCTTCGTGGCGGGAAGTGGCACCCTCTCGATGGGCCAGTGGCAAGCCAGCCCAATATCCATACTGACGACGATGGCCAGAATGAAGTAGACCGCTGACACGCGAAGGCACGATTCTTGAAAGATCCAGTCGTGCCACTTGTTAGGTGGAAGCATGGTTGGTATCAATTTTGCATCAGTCTTCAAATGGCGACCAAGAAGGTATTTAAAGATGTTCTGTGAACGGACCGTTAGCATCTGGTATCATCTAGCTGAGTTGCGTGCAAACGTGTTTTAAACTTGACAGAAATTTCTGGCTTGAAATGCGCCTCACCCCAAGAGTGTACAGCAGAGCAAGGCCGCCATCAGGGAAGTGGCCCTGGCTGCCGCCTAATCGAAGCCACAAGAGCATATATAGGCTGCTTGCTTGGGCGGCTGATAGTAGTTCCCACTTGGTGAAATTATCGGTCTTTGAGATCTCTGTTAGTGGCGAGGAGACAGCGTAGAAGTAGAGAAATCTAGAGGATACTCATAAGAGACATCCGTACTTACCTGGGCGTAAATCCACTCTTGTTGCTCGTGGACCCTCGCCCATAATGCAGGATAATCCATGGACGTGGACGGTGTGGCAGCGACGAAGGTGTGAAGGAGCTCGGCACAGGCCGTCAAGGGGTGACTGCTGCTGCTGCTGCCGGCCCCGACATGTTGTGCATCCTTGAAATGCCGGTGGACAAAGATGGCATACGACAAGTCGTGCGCGGCCTTGATTGGCTGGCCACAGAGAAACCTCACGATCAGGTGGCTGATCTGAGAGCTTTCGGACTCGGACCAGAGCTTTGGTTGGAACAGATACAGTGATCTCGGCCCCAGCAACACGGAACTACCCTGGGCCGCCTCATCTGCCCTGCACGCGCCATTTGTGGCTTGCTCTGATTCCAGCTCTGTCTGTGAGCCTGAGCTGCAGGAGCTCCTGTCGTATTCAATGATTGTGGGTCGTGCTGGTGAGTCTCTCATAGACGTGTCTCCAGGGTTGTGGTCCTTCTTTCGCCGGCGTTTGTGGTAGTCTGACATGACCGTCTGACGGACAAATGTGCGCCGTTCATCTCTGCCTTTGGCTGGGTTATCCGTCAAATTCACAAATGTGTACTCGGACTCGACTGTTGAACGAGGCATATTGTCGTGTTCTTGGATTTGGTCATGCCCTGCGTACCCTACCTTGATGCCTGTTTGACGGGCCCCGAAAACATCAAAGTGGCATTGATGGCTGACTTTGGTTTGCATAGTTCGGCAGCGGGAAGGGACGCAATAGGCTCACGGGTACCCGTGGATTTAAGTACGGCAATTGATAGGGGTGCCGCACCATTTTGATACGGGTGCCGCAAGCTTACGGGTGCCGCACTTTTCACAGCCTCCCATTGGCCGACAAACTTGCCGGCCCGTCAGGACACCCCGCACAAGGCGGTGAAGCAGGTTCGCTCTACCACGCGTTAACAGACTCTTGGGATGCCTTATCACAGTGCTGTTTTCGCGGATGGCCGTCGCTGGAATGGATCTGGCAATTGGACGGTACGTATACATATCTATGATCTCCTACGACAAGGCTCTCTCTTTATATGATGACTCTCAACCCGGTGACAGCGCCATGGTACGTGTCCCCATTGGTTTGCGGCCCAAGTGAACCTCAGCGGTCAAGTCAGGATTTGTCCCAAATCCATCAGTGGCGAGAGTTTCAATTAATTAGTCTTGCGCTGCGTTACAGCTTGACTACAATACACTGCTCCATCCGCATTTCGGTGTCAATGTCGCTTCCTCCGGTGTTCGTCGGCGGATCGTCTCCCATCTCCACAACACCCTGTGCCTCAGCGTGACCATCCTGTCCAGATAAGCCATCATCTCTTCTTTAGTCCATTCTCTTGCGTCCGTTGCAGTGATGCAGAGCATTGTCATCTGCTCGCTTTCCAAGCACCAATCATAACTCTTCTGGTCATACCGCAGTGGGAGACCCATCGCCCTGCGGTATTCCTGGTTGGTTTTGATAGTCCCGCGGGGCTGCGCTGCATACCAAGCGCGTCTTGCAGCGACATATCTTTGATATATAGCCTGTGCAATATCGCACCTCGGCGAAGGCGGAGGTGGAGGCGACGGTGGATCAGGTGAGGGTACCGGCACGAGAACAGGTGATGGAAGAGACCGTGGCTGACCGTCTGCAGGAGGGTGGGATGTTGAAAACTGGTACGGTGGGATTCGGATCCGGCATGTCTCGTATACTCGGGGTTGAATCCAACAATACGGTAGATCGTGAGGCGGGCTCCGAAGTGAAACCTGACTGCGAAGATAGCTCCGAGTACCGCAAGGGACACGCTTTTGAGGTCATTGTGTGGCCGACCGTGTGGCAGTTGCTGCATTTACTGGGAGCCCGTGTGGCAGCTTTGGCTGTTGTAGGTCCTGCTTGGAGAGCAAACGTTGTCGCTTCATCGCTCGATAGCTCCCACTGGGGTGGGTCCTGCGCCCACTCGCCCGGCTTCCTGAAGTTTTCCCGGGCCCGAGATGCAGTATCCTCTCCTGGCTTGATTGGCTATTTTGTGCCTGGCTGGCGGCGCCCCTAAATAAGACCAGAGGGCTTCGAGGCTGCTGACTGTTGGAAATCTGGTGGCTCTGGGTTTGACTGCTGGTCTCAACCGCCATACTCGCTGGCAGGGGCTGGGGTTTATTTTTTGGTCGTCCACGGAGACTGGTGGCGATCATGGGGTCTAGGATCCGGCCATGTACGTCTTCGCTTACAGGCTCTCGCAAGTGCCACCATGGATGAATATCCCACTTGGTTAGAGGCGCTGCGGTAATAAGCTTCCCATAGATAGTATGATAACAGGGGATACCAAGCTCGATAGGCGCGGTGCAGTCGTCGTTGCATGGGGTCATGGCGTTCGGCCACGGATTTGCCGCGGTTGGGATGCCTTTCAGAGCCTTGCGGTACTCCCTGGTAATCAAACAAAGTGCCTTGTGAGACACCATCCTAGGAAGCTCGCCCAGATACTCTGAGCCGCGCCCCACGTGCTCTCGCGCCGTTAACACCTCGTCCTGAGCACAGGCTTGTCGAAACTCCCTCTCCTGGTCTTCCAGCATACCTTGGATTGCCTCGACCAGCCGATACAAATGGCTCATGCCGTTCAGAAGATAGCTCTTGACATTGTTGTTGCTGGCCTCTGTGCCGGAGGTCACTCGAATGCCGAAGTTGCGGTATTTCCGGATGAAGCAGCGAGCCCACTGCGCCCTCACAGGCATGTACGTACCATACAGATACGCAAGGATCGCTCTCTGATCCCCGAACTCTGTGCAGAGACTCTTCCAGGCTTTCTCGTGATCCTTTTCGGTCTCGGCAAACACCACCAGCCTCCAGAGCATAAGCACTCCGTGGTAGTCATGGGTTATTGGCCGATTCAGGTTGTCGTGTGTGGTTGGTCCTTCTAGCCTCCCAGATGCCTGCACTGCCTGTCGATCGTGCCGGTCGAGAGTGGCGTCGGGCTCATCCGAACTGCTCTCCTCACCGGTACTGCTGTCCCTCCTGGTGGATACCCACTTCCGCTTGGACTGAAGCATTACATTGGAGTTGATGTGGTGGATGCAAAGCTGCTGCTGAGCGTCTGGAAACTCGACCTCAAGTGCCTTTTTCATCTGGTCGTCAAAGTCAGTAATGACGACGTTGGGGGTCCGGATGCTATATCGGCCGAGGAGCGTGCGCACGCCGTTTGCAAGGAACTGGAACCCTTCAAGCCTCTCGTTGTCGATCAAGCCGAATGCGGCGTTAAAGACAGTGCCCAAGCATGTCTGTCCCGTGACTTAGAAGAGCGGTAACTTGAAGCGGTTCGTGTTGTAGGTGTTGTCGAAACTGACGACCTCGGGGAAACGCTTCCACATTCTGACACAATAAGGGAACGTCCAAACCAACCCCACCAGGCGGTCGGGTTCGTCCGTAGCCCACTGAGCAACGTAAGGGACCTCCTTACTGTCGAACAACTTGATCAATGCAGCCGTAGAGCTGTAGCCACCCAGATTCTCTCTGCTGATCCGAGCTCTGGCGTTGTAGATATCTCTCTTGGTGTAAACCGAATCTGGGAAGCGATCTCGGACGATGCCGCCAATGTCTCGCGCACGAATGCCAACCCGTCGGCTGGAAGACTGGATGGCCGCCTTCACAGGACTATGAAGTCGTCGGTGAACTGGGTGGGTGGCGGCGTCGGTACTGGGGTTATGGTTGTGGCGGTGGTGTTCCGCACCTGGGAAGTGCCGCAGAGTCCACTGGAAGCTGTTCCTTGGCAGGGCCTCGGCAATAATTTTCCATAGGCACCCCGACTTTCGAGACTTTCGTTTCCGAAGGCCAGCAGCCTTTCCTGGCCGCGGAGCCCCGTACCGGTCGCATTGGAAGACATATCGACTTCGCTGTCCCGGTCGAATCATGCCATGAGCTTTGATAACGCCGAAGCCATGGGTTTTCGCAAAACTGTTAACCCTAGCAAGAAGGGCCTCAACAGACGGAGCTGGATCGCCCGGGATTGGTGGGTTTTGAATTATTCCAACGGCGTTGGATCTCGAGCTGGCATCGGACAAGCCATGCTGCTCACGCTGCTCCTCGCCCTGGGCGGGCACATCCGGAAGCAATGAGACCTGGGCAGGGCTTGCGGCCGGTGGCGAAAGCGTGGCTCTGCCTCGTTGCGTTTGGCGCCTTTGTTCGGCCCAGGCAAGATCCCTTTCATGGGCCAAGGCAAGCGCCGAGGCGAGGTGACGGTCTGTTTCTCTGAGCTGGCGAGCTAATCCCAAGGCAGTTGGGAGGGTCGTCATCCTCGTTACGGCTCGCGTTATAGACTCGTCCCGACTTAGTTGACCATAGTGCTGCCTTTTCCGTCTGGTCCCGGCCGGGTCTGGTATCAGTGTGTCGACGTGTTGGACCGGTTGACTCGGTCTATACTGAGGGGTGTGGTAATCGTTTCGGAGGTATATGTCTGATTTTCGCCACTGAACACCAGGAACATCCTTGCCGATCGAATCGTGAAGTCCGGGAAGCGAGGTAAAATTATGATGGAGCCATCCTGCAGGCACGTCGCCCACTCCGTCCGTATCATATTGACATATTTCGAGGCAGGCGGTTGAATCGCCTAACGACTGGTCTGAGTGGCCCGACGAAGGTCGTGATTGTGCTCGGCCAGAGGCATCGTTCGGGGTAATTGGACTTCTGCGGCGGCTTATGTTGGCGGTGTGAATATCTGGTGAAGGCATTGTAAAGCCTCGAGGTATACTGTATTCGTCAGGGTAGCCTCAACTCAACACCGCCGTCCCTCCCACGACTGACCGAAGCATGTACGGTATCCCTCCACATGCCTCTCCCGGTGTCTCCCGACGACCACGACCAAGATGCCCAGAAGGACCCTGGCCCCGCGCCGCCCGAACTCCCGATAGTCTTCGCCGACCCGTCCGACCCCTTCACCCCGAAACTGCTCATCGTCGAGCTCCTCCGCACCAGCTACTGCATCCCCGGCTCTATCTTCCTCGTCGAGGACGTCACGATCGCCCCCCTCCCGCGGTCGACGCGATGGCGAGCCGTCCGCCTCGTCCTCGGCGACGGCGACCTGTGCATCCAGGCCCTGCTGCGCCCTGAGATGCACCGCTTCATCGACGCGAGCGCCGTCCATGTCGGCTGCTTCGTGCGCCTCGACACCTTCCACATCCGGCACAGGGAACTCGGCAACGACGAATCGGGGGCCCCGTTGCAGATGGTGTACCTCGTCATTGGCGACCTGGTCACCGTCGGGTGGCATTCAGAACTTGCGCAAGTGAGCCCGGCTGCCAGGCAAGTCGGCGAACAAGCAGGGCAACACGACGACCGGGCCGGGGTCGAGGACGAGGTCGACCTGATACCCAGCAGCCAGCTCGAGTTCGAGGGCATCAATGAAGCACTGGCGTAGGCGGAACGCCAATCGCGCCAAGCAACACCGACGAAGCATCGGCCTCGCCAGCAACAAAGCAACGACTACGATGACGACGACGGCCTCGACGCGGACGATGTCGAGAACATGGTCGTCTCGCCCTCCAAAACCTCTCGACGCAGGGAAGAAGCTGTCGCCTACGCGCACCGTGGCCCCGCCGCACTGCCGCGCGACTGGACCCATCCCTCCATCCCGCTCAAGCTCACCCGCCTCCGGTCCATCCCCGACCTGCCCTACAAGCAGAACTGGTCCATCAACATACTGGTGGTCGTCAGCGCCCTCGACAACGTCCAGCCGTGCCCGGTGCCCGCCTACGCCATGCGTACGGCGCGCGTCGCGGACCCCTCCACCGGCAAGCGCGTCCTGCTGACCGTGTTCCTTGACCCCGACGAGTTCGCTCCGCGGGTTGGCGCCGTGATCCTGCTCGTCGGCGTCAAGAACCACCTGGCGGACGGCGGGAGCCTCAGGAAGTACGTCAGCGACAGGCCCAGGAGGCCGGGGGAGAGGTGGTGGTACGAGGAGCCGCGCCAGTTTGACTGGTGCGACGTTGAGGGCATGAAGAGCTGGTGGGAGGCGGAAGGAAAGACGGCGCAGGGCGACGCTGCAGATCCAGGCTCATGAAGTCTAATGACGCGATGATGATCTATAGACCATGATCCAACGGCTTGATGCACAAATGAGTTCCTTACCTCCACGCCACTGTAATACCCCTATCGTACGACTCCCTCGCCGGCTCGATAAGCCGCAGGCCATCCTCGACTGCGTCGCCTTGACCTCCAGCTTGGCCTTGCCGTTAATAGCATCCGCCACGTTCTCGTACAGCCCCATCCACCGTCCCGTGACGGTCGGGTACCCCGCGGTGTACTTCTTCGTCTCAGGGTCATGCTTCTGCACGCTTGGGTCGAACTCCTTGTACGTCGTCAAGATGCCGCGCAGGGCCTCCGACTCGACCCCGAATCCTTCATCTAGGGGCTTAGCACCAGCGCCGATCTGCTCCCTCCTCCCGGGGACAGGTGCTTCGCTGCTGGAAGTACTGGCAAGTCAGCACGCGGTTCCTTCTGCTTTCTACAAGGGTTCAATCCTTACCTTGACAAACGAGCCCTTGGTCCCGCGCACGAGCTGCTTGAGCTGCTGCGCCATAGGGCTCGTGACGGCCGTCTTGACGGTGACGAGCAGGCCCAGAAGGGCCCCGTCATACTGCAGGCTGATGGTGAACGAGTGCTCGACCTCGCTCTCGATGGGCCGCTGGGCCCGGTCGGGGGGAGGCTTCCCTGGACCATAGGCTCTGTTGGAGGAACACTTCACATAACCTCTTCACATGCCTGGCGTCTTCCTTCCGGTTCCCGAGCCCGACGTCGCTCTGCCCCAGTTTGCATCGAGTCCCGATAGCGACA